ACGATATCACTAAGCATGATACCAATAAACACGATATTAATAAACACGATTCCAATAAACACGATTTCATAACGCGATATCACTAAGCACGATTTCAATAAACACGGTATCAATAAACACGATATCACTATGCACGATATAAATAAACACGATATCACTATGCACGTTATAAATAAAAACAGGATATCACTATGCACGATATCAATAAACACTATATCACTAAGCACCATATCAATAAACACGATATCAATAAACACGATATCACTAAGCATGATACCAATAAACACGATATTAATAAACACGATTCCAATAAACACGATTTCATAACGCGATATCACTAAGCACGATTTCAATAAACACGGTATCAATAAACACGATATCACTATGCACGATATAAATAAACACGATATCACTATGCACGATATAAATAAACACGATATCACTAAGCACGTTATCAATAAACACGATATCAATAAACACGATACCAATAAACACGATATCACTAAGCAGGATACCAATAAACACGATATCAATAAACACGATACCAATAGATATCAATAAACACGATACCAATAGATATCAATAAACACTTCCTTTTATAAAGCAGTGATTTACTTACTTGACTGTTTCATTGCCACATTTTGTAGTCGGCTTCTCCCCTCTGTAGGGGAAGACATCTGCAGGAAAACAAAACATGACAGTAATAAATATGTCAGACTGTATGATAATCAAATAGTTCTGAGCTGGAAATGTAGCAATTAAGATATCCATATTTCATCCATACTATGATGAATCAAATAACAATCAACAAAACATCCATGCACCATGCTAAAAATGGGCAATATAGTGCCTACCAATGTTTGAAAATTAAAGTTTTACTTTCTAAGCGTTCGTGTGTATTGATACATCGAACTTAAATAAATGAAAAATAATAACAAAAATATGAACGATACCAATCAATTTAAAACTCGAACTTGCCGTCATATAAGGCTTGTTGCTTCATCGTCTTTTCCTCCTTGCCAAACATTCTGTTTCCTTTCAATGGTGTTGGACAATACCATGGAACAGCTGGGTCATTGGTCTGGGGTACCTTTTTGGAATCACGTACAGTACTGGGTTCTAGTCTGTAGATATGTGTTTCTGAGTCCAGTGAATGTCCATACTTTGCCTCGTGTGTTTCAAAATGCTGAATACGAATTCTGTGCTTTCTGCGTAAGTGTAATGCTTCTGCAGGTTTAGGGTCTTTAGGAGGAGTTGGGACGACATCAAACTTACTGATGTCGGTAAAGATCGTCTGGCTTTTGTCACCTGAATAACATTAAATTAAAATTCGTCGGTATGGCAATATTGCGTTTGATTTTAGAATTAGAGTAAAACCTTTGTTCTTGTGGAAGAAATGGCAGATTGAACATTTCCTAGGGCCATGTTTGGCTATATGTTAGTTCGTATAATAATGTGAGACAGTTAGTTTATTTTGCGTAGTTAAAATGAACTTACTTTCCATTCTGTTGTGACGCAATGCCTTCTTTATGTTGGTTACTTCCATTTTTCACTCTTATGATAAACTAACAAAAAAAGTTTCGCTAGATGCTACAAATGTCGTCGTTTCGTAGCTACCGCCGCCAAAACTCACGTGAATGAACAATGAGATATTGAACGTTATTGATTGGATAAAAAAAACCACGTGCTCTTTTAGACGTTTTGATAGGCTTAAAAATGGTAATTATAAAAGACACTCGAACTGTAATCCGGATTATACTAAATATGATACACCATTCAACTTTTTTCTTAATAGATTGGAAAAAGGAAATTTTTTTCACATTTTTGGAAAACATCAGTGAACTTTCATTCCTGATGTCAGAAACACGTGATTTGTCGTCAACATCTACGTATTTGAAAAATGATTTAGGAGTTGGTTCTGGTAAATTACATCCGTTACTTAGCCTTTACCTTTCATACGGAAACCAATGAAAAGTGCCGTACTATAAAACAACCAATCAGAATGCATTTCACATGATAGAAAGGAAAACGGTGTGTTGTCTGCTAGAAAACGAAGAGAGATCTTAGAAAAAGACGAAAACTACCAACAGTGACCATATATACTCGATAAATTCCAGTATGGTATATGTCAGCATTTTATTTCACGTTAATACTGTTACATATTTAAAAACAGATGCTAGGAATATATTTTCAGCCTATGACCAAACAGGCACGTGCTGCATGGTGACAGTTGGTTGTAGACGAGTCCCAAATCCGAGGTGCTGCTGTTGGATATCGATCTATTGCGCTGTGGCTATACAACAGCTATACGATACAGCGACATTCCCAATCAATAAAATACCTTCATTCGTCAGAGAACCTACCATGGAAGGAGGAACTACTGCTGAAACGGTATAGTTGCCCGTGTATATATGCCTGTTACGGGATGAACTGAAATCGGGACACCGAAAACAGTGATGTCTGTCTTCTGCTATTGTGAGTACAATATTATGGTATATCGCAAAAAGGCATGTTTAAGGCTTTATTGTTAAAACTGTGAACAGGGATGGTAAAGTATGTAGACATGGGGCCCGGGCTGTGTACGCGTTTGTCGATAAAATGACCTTTCTGATAGAAAACCCCGTAGCGTGGCTGCTCTATTGTTTTCTCAATGTAATCTATAAAATTTTCAGTACCAAGTACAATCTACCTTATTATTTATTCAACAGTCAACAAACACCTTTCACTACAGGAGCCATAGATTAATATGCAAACGTCAAATATTTTCGTTAAGGTTTGCCAAATGCATACATCAATTCTACCCTGCACCTATCAAAATTTGTTTTACAAAATCAAATGTTAAGTATTCGCTGTTTCATGACTGTTAACATGCAATGTACATATTCCCTTTGTATAGTTACAACATCAAACTTGTTAAAAATACTTTGCATGTCTTATATATAATTATTGCATGTTCAAAACGTGTTTCTTTTCTATCTTGGTTCTCGTGTGTGCCTGGGGTGTCAGTTGGAAGTTAATTTGTCTTATGGAATATGTAACATTCACACATATATAGATGGGTCTGTTTTAATCATTCAAAAATTTAGTTATTGAAATTATTGACTGATGAATTTAAGAACTGGTACTGGAATGCTCTACACAATGTAGAACTTGTATTATCAATCAGTATGATAGTTTTAATTAATTATCATAACGTCCCTGTTTACACTCATTTATGGCATTAACCATGTCAATGTATACCAGAAGATTAAAGATGCAATGTACAATTGTATGTGTCAAGCTTTTTAAAATCTTTTTGTCACATTATTAAATGTATAAAGTTATTCACAAATATTAGTTATACCTGGATGCTATCAAAGTGTTACCATCTTAACTACCTTACAATATTGCCATTGCCAGAATGTTTAATGTTTTTGACTTCAATGTGCAAAATGTCATTGACCTCATGTCTAAAGATTCAATGTACAGTCAGTTGATATGAAATGATGTTTTCACAAAGTCATTGTCACTAGGCATAGTGTAAAATCTGTTTAGTTCCATTTCATTTCATAGCATAATTATCTACATCCATTACATAAAGTGTCGTCATTACACACATGTTACATGTGTAATATGACCTAGTGAAGCTGTGATTAACTTAAGGTTTCCATATTTTACAAGTAAATCATGTTTCATGATGTCATGTACATTTGGGCGTTACCAAAGAAAGAAATACAGAATGAGAATGTTATCAATTAATTAATGCCGTTTTTTGTTAATATTTGCAAAGGCATCTAAGTTATAATGTGACAAACAGAATATTACATATGCTTCAATTTCACCTGAAATGTATGAAATTTTTCACAAACTTTTTCATTATACCTCACCAGATAATCAATAAAATGAAAAATTATAAAATTGCTTCACAAATCTCATGTAAATAGAAACTCCTGTAAAATTGTTTTTGTCAAAAAATTTCTACATGTTCACCAACATCATCTCTTGTATGATTTCATATTGCAAACCTCTGGAGTATACAACAGTCTTGCACATAGTATTTTAGCATTAAAACTGTCTGTAAACATAATTTCTTATTTTATTATATTATACAAAATGAGTTCAATTTAAAAACATCAGATATAGCCATTTATACCTGATACATGAGGTGATACAGTATGTTGCCAGGCATTTTGTCCTTAATGAAACTGAAACCAGACAGAAAATTTTCAAAGGTTAGAGCTGATACCAAAATTCTGTGAACTTGGTGAAGTGTTTTTTTGTTGTCGGTCAATACAAGTTGATCATTAGGGTTTGATTTCAAAATGTAATGTTTAGAAAGTGATTCTCTTTATATGTCATATCAATCATCCAATATCAAAATTGAAGACAAAAATTTACACCAAAAGACTTGTTCATTGTGCGATATGAATCCTCTGTTAAACAGCAGACACATATTTCTATGTGTACAGATTTCTAAAAGAAATATAGTACAACAAGGTTTACATGATTTGGAAAAAAATCAATACATGGTGTTGTGATAATGAAATTAATCAACTCAGCACTCGAAAAAAACCCAGAAAGAAATCTTCTGTAGTGGTCCAAGGATATCTACATCTGGATCACCCTCTCAGCGTCTGCAGCTCAGGTCACATGTGTATACTTTCCACAATTAAAACTTCCCTCCAATACATGTCCAATCATATTGATTTCTTGTTCTTGTTTGAGCTCTTGCACATACTCCAGGGTCTGCTGGTGAACACCCTTCTTCAAATTCTCCTTTGTGGTAGAATAAATAAATATTCATTGTTTCATTGTATATTATTCTTTTGATTGTTTGGGAATTTATAGTGTATTTCCTGCATAGATTTGAAATAAAAGGTTAATATCTACTGCTTATATTAATCACTTGGGATTACCTGGGTGTAGAGATGTATATATATAAGCCACAACATTATTTCAAAAATCTTCAGGTTCTGGTAATACAACTGATGACATAAGATGAAATTTTCGTAAAATTAAAGATGACTTTTGGAGAAATGTCACCTGTAAACCTTCTAAACTGGATAATTTCTAAAGATTTTGAGCTCAGGAAATACATCACAAGTAATTGTTTAATTGATGAAAAAGTGGTATTTGTTTAAATTTTATTGTTTCTCATTTCAGATTTAACTTGGGATAAATACCTTCAAGGAGTGTAATTATATAACAAATGGTGTAATAGTGTAATGAGTTAGATGGCTGGTAAGACTTTGTTATCAAAGTGTGACGAGATGATCCTGTGGCAAACCATCTTACTATTATTGTGCATGTCCTGTTGGACAATCCAAGGTTACCCAGGCGAGGAAAAAAGGGACATGGGTACCCTAGAGGGGGACGTCCAAAACTGGGCCATGTTGATTCAGAACTACATTCTACAGGTCAGTATGTTTTAATTTTCTTCCTCTCTCTATGTTTTCTCATATATTTCCTCCTTTTCCTTTTGTGGAAATGTTGTCACTGGCATGTACACGTCATTCCAACCACTTTAGTTATATATGCTTTCTAACATCTGTGTGTAGTGCTGGATATCTGTATCTGCCACAGCTGTGTGTTCTGTGTAGAATATCTCTTTTTTCCAAAGCTGTGCCTACCATATAGAATAACTCTTATCTCTCATAGCTGTGTGGGAAGTGTAGGATATCGCTATCTCCAATAGTTGTGTATACTGCATAGGATATCCGTAAATCCCATAGCAGTGTGTACAATGTAGAATATCTTTGTCTCCAAAATCTGTGTGTAGATTGTAGATATATCTACCTCCCATAGCTGTGTGAACAGTGTAGGATATCTCTATCTCCCATAGCTATGTGTAAAAGTAGTTATATATATACATTGAAGGCTATCTCTAGTTTTCATTGTTGTGTGTGCACCATAAGAATGAGACTTAGATTTGATACCATGTGTGTCTATTGAAGAGAAAACTTTGTTTGATACATTTTATATGGTAGAAATGGTTTAATGCAGTGTGTGTATTTATAAAAAGGAGTCTTGGTCAGATACAGTTGATACAGTGTGTGTATCTATGGAAGGGAGTCTTGGTCAGATACAGTGTGCATATCTATAGAAGCGAGTCTTGGTCAGATACAGTGTGTGTATCTATAGAAGGGAGCCTTGGTCAGATACAGTGTGTGTATCTATAGAAGTGAGCCTTGGTCAGATACAGTTGATACAGTGTGTGTATCTATAGAAGGGAGCCTTGGTCATATATAGTGTGTGTATCTATAGAAGGGAGCCTTGGTCAGATACAATTGATACAGTGTGTGTATCTATAGAAGGGAGACTTGGTCAGATATAGTGTGTGTATCTATAGAAGGGAGCCTTGGTCAGATACAGTTGATACAGTGTGTGTATCTATAGAAGGGAGCCTTGGTCAGATACAGTGTGTGTATCTATAGAAGGGAGCCTTGGTCAGATACAATTGATACAGTGTGTGTATCTATAGAAGGGAGACTTGGTCAGATACAGTGTGTTTATCTATAGAAGGGAGTCTTGGTCAGATACAGTGTGTGTATCTATAGAAGGGAGTCTTGGTCAGATACAGTGTGTGTATCTATAGAAGGGAGTCTTGGTCAGATACAGTGTGTTAATCTATAGAAGGGAGTCTTGGTCAGATACAGTGTGTGTATCTATAGAAGGGAGCCTTGGTCAGATACAGTGTGTGTATCTATAGAAGGGAGCCTTGGTCAGATACAGTTGATACAGTGTGTGTATCTATAGAAGGGAGCCTTGGTCATATATAGTGTGTGTATCTATAGAAGGGAGCCTTGGTCAGATACAATTGATACAGTGTGTGTATCTATAGAAGGGAGACTTGGTCAGATATAGTGTGTGTATCTATAGAAGGGAGCCTTGGTCAGATACAGTTGATACAGTGTGTGTATCTATAGAAGGGAGCCTTGGTCAGATACAGTTGATACAGTGTGTGTATCTATAGAAGGGAGCCTTGGTCAGATACAGTTGATACAGTGTGTGTATCTATAGAAGGGAGCCTTGGTCAGATACAGTTGATACAGTGTGTGTATCTATAGAAGGGAGCCTTGGTCAGATACAGTTGATACAGTGTGTGTATCTATAGAAGGGAGCCTTGGTCAGATACAGTTGATACAGTGTGTGTATCTATAGAAGGGAGCCTTGGTCAGATACAGTGTGTGTATCTATAGAAGGGAGCCTTGGTCAGATACAATTGATACAGTGTGTGTATCTATAGAAGGGAGACTTGGTCAGATACAGTGTGTTTATCTATAGAAGGGAGTCTTGGTCAGATACAGTGTGTGTATCTATAGAAGGGAGTCTTGGTCAGATACAGTGTGTGTATCTATAGAAGGGAGACTTGGTCAGATACAGTGTGTTAATCTATAGAAGGGAGTCTTGGTCAGATACAGTGTGTGTATCGATAGAAGGGAGTCTTGTATGGTACTGTGGCTTTATATATTGTGTGTAACTATTGAGTTGAACTGTGGCTTTATATATTGTGTGTAACTATTGAGTTTACTGTGGCTTTATATATTGTGTGTAACTATTGAATGGTACTGTGGCTTTATATATTATGTGTAACTATTGAATGGTACTGTGGCTTAATATTTTGTGTGTAACTATTGAATGGTACTGTGGCTTTATATATTATGTGTAACTATTGAATGGTACTGTGGCTTAATATTTTGTGTGTAACTATTGAATGGTACTGTGGCTTTATATATTGTGTGTAACTATTGAATGGTACTGTGGCTTTATATATTGTGTGTGACTATTGAATGGTACGGTGGCTTTATATATTGTGTGTAACTATTGAGTTGAACTGTGGCTTTATATATTGTGTGTAACTATTGAATGGTACTGTGGCTTTATATATTGTGTGTAACTATTGAATGGTACTGTGGCTTAATATTTTTTGTGTAACTATTGAATGGAACTGTGGCTTTATATATTGTGTGTAACTATTGAATGGTACTGTGGCTTTATATATTGTGTGTAACTATTGAATGGTACTGTGGCTTTATATATTGTGTGTAACTATTGAATGGAACTGTGGCTTTATATATTGTGTGTAACTATTGAATGGTACTGTGGCTTTATATATTGTGTGTAACTATTGAATGGAACTGAGGCTTGACATTGATTGAAAAGAACTGTGGTTTAATATAATGTGTTTGTATTTATTGAATGGAACTCTGGTTTGATATGTAGTGTGGGTGTATCTATAAAGGAATGTTTTTTAGGGTGTTTTAGTATGGATGCACTGGTACTCTTATATAATTAATGAAGGAGTTTTCAATACAAAAACCACCCTGTCTGTGTGTTTGGTTAGAAACAGTGTATAATACTGATGGGTTTTCTTGTTTATTTCAGTGTAGTTACAATGATGAGGTACTTGTTGGAATGCCCAAGAACACAGTGAGCTCCCATACGTTATGCTCCCACCCTAGTAGACTTTCGCATTGTGACATGCCTGTTCACTAATCACCAAGTTATTCTTTTTAGAAATCAATAATAGTTTTTCTGTGCCTGTTTTGTAGTTAGCCAGTGATGGTATCAAACGAGACTTCTCTCAGTCTTACCTCGATGAAGCTAGCTACACAAAGGAGGTAAAAAATGGAACCAAAATTGCCAAAAAAGTCAAGAAAACTCTGGGTGATTACTTTGAGAAGAAGAAAGTTGCAGCCCAGGTGAGAATTTATAACACATTTAAATAAGATCAAAATTTTAATTTAATTATCAAAATCTACATGGGATTATTTTGCAGGGTAATTAAGATAATACAGTGCACTTTCTCCCACCTGATCCTTGTCAAAACCGATCAGCTCTTATTGAATCTGAATGAAATGACGATGTATGGAATATCTTCTTTATTATAGTAAGTAAAAACTTCCCAAAACTGATCCCTCTCAGTTTCAAATAGGGAACTGATTTTGTGTCTAAAATGATTGAAATATGCTGAAAATTACTTCTGAAGACCTGCCTTATCTGAGCAATGGAGATCTGAGTTCCAACCAGCGGACGTATGAAATCAACACATGAGGTGCCATTTGCAAACTTAAGCTTTGTGCCCCTGGCATGTACCTGTCACAGATAGGTTTTGTACGCATTACCTACCCTGATTGAGAGGATTATGCTAGACATTATATATAGTTATCTCCAATGTTAAAATGAAAACACGTTGAATGAATACATTGTTTCACGAAAATGAGAAACAGACAGTGAAAATCAGTAACATGCACATTTATAAAGTCACAGATTTGCATCTAAATTGTGAGTAATGGAATGCAGTTTTAACACATACAAACCGGAAATGTCATTGGAGTTTTGTTTTAAAAGATAATTTCATATTAACAAAAACATCTATTCATCAAATATATTTGTTGACACCACACTTTCAGACAAGCCGACCGTCACACTGGGGCTACTTTCGGCCATATATGAAGTTAGTTCTGAGATCGCCAGTCGAAGAGCAGAATTCTTTTAGAGTAAATTCAAACATTCTACAAGTACATGTATTAATGTTTTTTTCACTTTAATGAAACATTTTTATTCTATAAAGTCCTTTTTCGCTGTATTCAGTTGGACATGTGCAGCATAGATATGAACACAATACACATTTTTGCTAAGTTTCATAGTTTATTGCACTGGCGGGAAACATTATCAATTATATGTGCTAGATGACATCAAAAGATATGTTCTTGATATTATTATAATACATTGATATATGACGCTACAGCAAGAATGACAGCTTGGCACATATGTGAATGTTTATACAAATACCGTTGGTAATCCTGATGCATCTTCAGACACTATTGCCAAAAATATTTCAAGAAGTTAGCAACATCAAAAGATGTATTGTAGATTTGATTGTGATACATCCTGGTACAGAATTTATTGTTGATATGTGTAAAATTGGTTGAGTTGCAAAAAGATGAATTTTCCTGAATTGCCAATGATACCTGTGTGTATGTGTATCACACTTGAGAGCAGCGTCACCTTGTTATGTGTTGATTAAATAGGGAATAAAATAAATTACAAGAAAGAATTCATCCCATAATCATTTTATGACTGTATATATAACACATATTCATCTCTGGTTTTATATTCTGTGTCACACATTGTTACACAAAAACAGATAATTACAATCTTTGTGGTGAAGTTTTTTTTTCATGTCCTGCTGTCACATCGTGCATGTGGCTGCTCACACAAACTGAGACCCAAACTATGTATCACGAACGATCAGTATGAGGAGCAAGTAATGTAGGCAAATGTACTTTGTCAAAGAGTAACGGTCTTTCACTACACATTTTGATAAGATAATTGTGTGAAGACTTTCCTTATTATGGGGAATAAATAATTATATGATCATAAGACTCAGATATGTTTCATAAACACCAATCAGGTGGATTTTAATAAATGATAGATCTATAGTCTTAAAGATTCCATGCAGATTCCGCATACTAATATGTCAACGCTAACTTCTGCAAATACACTAGCAAGCAGGCAGTGCAGATGGCTTCTCCATCGAAACATCCAAAGTGAAAGGGAATCAAATTAATTCTGTCATTTCTTAACAGTTGATGTTGTAAATGCCTCAAAAGATAGTCATATCTAATCAACATTTTTAAAACCATTCCACAGATCACTGACAATTGGTATTTTCCTGTCTCGTTAGTTACTATCACATTTTTAAAAACTTTGTCCTGCTTTTGAATGATGTTGAATGGGATAGTTGGCATTAATATATACAGTAACAATTTTATTTGTTTTTGCTGTTCATGAATTTTTGTCCACTAGATTTTGGAACTTTCAGTTAAAAAAATTGTTGCTAGGTGACCATCCTGGATTCGACAGCGAGAGATTATCTCAGTTTTTTTTCGTCTTTTTTTTTATTTCTTTTGAAAATAGCAATTTACATGAAAGTGAATTAAATTTCAACAATATACAAAAAATTGAAATTACCACAGATGATTAAACTTGGTAATGGATAAAGTATGAAGAAAAAGAACATTGTCAATTTCGGAGGCATCAGCTTAAGGTCAAGGTCAACAGTAGTAATTCATTTTAAAGGAGGAACGACCTCAGTCCAGATATTAACTTTAGATCATGTGATGACAGGTGAAACTTGATAGATAGTTTACTTCACTGAAATTGAGGTCTTTTCATGTAAAACCAATTTTTATGAGGTAATACTTACCATAACTTTAGTATGCAAATACAGTACCTACACCCATCTTTGTATCCCAACAACAAAAGATTCAAACAATCATGCCCTCCCTATGATCCATGAGCCATCACGGCAGGAACATAGAGTGATCTCCCTTCCTCTAATAACCTTTATGGAGTACCCTACAGAGGGGCAGCCAGGCAGATAAGGAAGAGGGGAGGCTAGGGTGGAACTCCATAAAGTAATGGTAAGTATTACCTCATGAAAATTGGTTTTACATGAAAAAACCTCAATTTCATTTCAGTAATAATTACCATAACTTTAGAAATAGTTCACACTTGATTAGAAGTTATATTTATTAGTATAAGCTGACTAATTGATGAGATGCACATGTTTACCTTGACTGACTCCCAGGGGCTGATGGGCAGGGCCTAAAGTGGGTCAAATTTACTGAAATTTCAAAGATGTTCTACTGTTTCTGGAACGAAGATTTTATATAGGAAAATTCAAATCTTAAGTGAAATTTCTTTTATTTTAAACTTGGTTAGAAGCCTTAGCTTGGGACAGCTGTTAATGTATACACAATTTATATTTGCATAATGTGTACAAAAATTTCAGAATTCCTCCCAAGAAATACCACTAAATTAACTGTCAATTCAAAGACAGCCACATGTCACCCATTTTGTTTTTTATCAGATCCAAGAACAAACAGCACAATAAGAGACCAAGAGGAATCTTACATGTGAAATTCAATATAAGTTATATTACTTTTTTTGACAAAATCATTTCTATGGCATGTTACAAAAAGCATTGTGGCTCAGGTGACAGTTAAGGCCCTTGGGCCCCATGTTGTGCTTAAGTCCTGACTTCAGCACAAAATATTACACATACTCTAAATGCAGAAATTTCTATGTGTGGAATATTTTTGCTAAATATGCAAAACAGTCCTGTTTATAGTAGCTCCTATACTGTATTTAGTTTTTGTATAAGAGTAGATTAGAAAATTTTTATGATTTATTTGTGATTTAAAGAAAAACACTGTAGAAATCAGCTTTTATATACATCATCCCATTCACTTGAAAGTTCACTTGTCCTGTGATGCCATTTGTGTCTGTGTATAGAGTGATTATGTTAAACTGAACTTGTTCTTACAGTACATGTTTACTCAAAAGAATGAGAGCTAACACAGACACACTGGAATAAAATGTCCACAATTGGCAGAAGAAAATCAAGATCTATTCACTGCCTGTGCTATTTTGGTTTAGGGGTGAGACAAATGTCATGATTCTGTATAACATGGAATCAAGGGAATTGTATTTACCATGTGGCAGCTAGGACAATTCTCCAGCATGCTTTTAAACTGTATTATGTGTGCTTTATAACCCAGCAGGCTTATTGTGTATGAGGCTAACTGGATTTACTCCTGAACATTTACTCTTGTGTACTGATTTAAGGGAATATCAAAGAACATATTTTGATGTTAAGATTATTATTTAATGTAGAATAACTGAATATTTGTCAATGTCTAAGAGTACAGAAGATGAATCAATGACAATCTCTCCCATTTAGAATGAAATTTGCTCAATCAAATTAAACTCAACTCAGGCATTATTGCTTTGTGATATACTTTGTTTACACTGTATTTTCTCCTATCTTTTGTTATACCCCCCGCAACGAAGTTAGGGGGGGTATACTGGAATCAGGTTGTCCGTCCATCTCTCCAGGCATCCGTCTGTCTGTCCGTCTGTCTGTCTGTTGTCCGGCTAACTCCTCCTAAACCTGTGAACCGATTTTGATGAAACTTTACAGGAATATTAAGAATCATGTGTAGATATGCATGCAACTTTCTTTTTTTGAAAATTTTGGTTGCCATGGTAACTGGTCACTATAAACAAGTTTTCTAATAAATGTCCATAACTCCTCAGTTATTTGACTGATTGTATTCAAACTTAGTAAAAAGATGTAATTGAGTAAGGCCAATAATTGGACATATTAGACGTTTCCCAAATTGTTACCGCGGAAACACAATCCTGGCCTCTGATTGGTCAAAATTTAGATATTGTCCAATTTTGACCAAATTTGGTATATAGGGTTATTAGGGGATGCCAAACATTATAAAATAGGTTTTGTTGCCATGACAAACATGAGTGTTTAGTGTAGATCAAGAACATAATGGCAGACATTTTTTCAGTTAAACAAATTTGCCATCATTGGTCAAAAAGTTATTAAATATCGTCAGATTTTAACGGTTTCTCGGCATGAAGAAGAAGATGCAGGCACATGCAGAATGTGTCAATTATTCTCAGAATAACACTTTAACTTGTCCATTGACTCGTTGCAGTGTGTGGGTGGTATTGGTTAGCCATCTAGGCGACAGTTCTAGTTTCCTATGGTTTGTACATGCCACTTGAAGTGGCATTGAATGAGTGGTACACTCAATCCTTTAGTTTTCCTTAGTATCTGTGTAGACATTTTGTACAAATCTGAAGGTTTGAAAATTAGTTACTCAGTTAACTGCTGAAGGAAAAGGAATTGTTTGACCTTGAACTGCTTTTGTGTTTCAGAGATTAGCAAACAAAAAAGGAAATATATAACCTTGAATTATCATTGTGTTTCAGAGGTTTGCAGACAAAATAAAGAAAATGTGTGTCCTTGAATTGTCCTTGTGTTTCAATGGTTAATTAGTGGACAAAATAAGGGAAAAGTATGACCTTGAATTGTCCTTGTGTTTCAGAGGTTAGCAGACAAGGTGAGAGAACTTTATGACAACTTTATGAACCTGAATTTGACTGGCAAAGTAGTTAATAGTCTAAACGACTTAGGAGACGATCGGTACAGGGATTCTGATATCCCAGGCACCCTCCCAAGTGATCTAACCTTCACTCCGTAAGCATGATTTTTGTTACTAGACAAGAAAATTATTAAAAAAGATAAATTGCTTTGTTCAAAAGTAATGGCTTTTTTTTCTTCTTCTTTCTTTCTTTCTTTCTTTCAAAAGAAATTAATTGAAATCAAATAATTTCACAATGTATGCACATGGTGATCATGAGTTTTTAGCTCACCTGGCCTGAAGAACTTTTTTCTTCTTTAACTTTTTCATACAAATCATAAAAGAGTTACAGGATCTTTTGGAAATTTTGGTCAGAAATATGCCGAGGGAAAGAGGTTAAATTTTTTTATAAATGATTGATCATGGCCCCAGGGACCTGTGTGGTGGGGTTGCAAAAGATGAAACCAGTAGGAATGATTGGATTTTGCCCAAATTAAGTCTGAAGCATTGTTGTGTGAAAGGGAATCAATTTTGTATAAATGGTTGGTCGAAGCCCCCTGGAATGTGAAGGGCAGGGCCCAATAGGGGTAATAGAACAAATTCTTTACAAACCTTACTCCTCCTGTAAGAATGATTGGATTTTGCCCTTATTTAGTCAGAAGCAATGTTGGTTGAAATGGAATCATTTTTGTTTAACGTTGGGTCACAGCCCTCTTGGGTGGGAGGGGCGGGGCCAAGTATGTCTAATAGAGCAAGGGGTAATAGAAATTTGTTTGGTGAAAGGAAATCAATTTTGCATAAGCGGTGGGTCTTGACCCCCTGGTTAGGGAGGGCCAGAGCCCAATTGGGGAATAGAGGAGTTCCTTAAAATCCTTCTTCTCCATTAAAAATGATTATATATCACCCAAATTTGGTCAGAGGTATTCTTTGGTGAACAGGAACAAAGTTTGTGTAAGAATTGATTCTCAGTTCCCAGTGGTCTTAAGGGTGGGGCCCAAAAGAGGAAATTTTGCAAGTTCTTTAAAACCTTACTCCTCCTATAAGAATAAATGGATATTGCCCAATTTGTTCTGAAGTATCTTGGGTGAAGGGAACTAAGTTCTGTATAAATGGTGCATCCAGGCCCCAATCGGGGGAGGGGATGGCCCCAGAGTGGGAGGTGTTGGCCCTAGGGAGGAGTGGGATGGGTAGGGGTGGGCCCCATTGGGGGTGGGTGGGAGAAGGACGGGAAGGGGTGAGCCCATTGGAGAAATGTAAGTTCTGAGGGATGGGCCCTATTTTGGAAATGTAAGTTCTTAAGTCCTTCTTCCATACAGGAATATTGTCCCAAGTTTGGTCTGAAGTAATTTGTATGAATAATGAATCTGACCTCTGTTTTACCACTAGGGTGAGACCCAATAGGGAAACAATATCAGAAATTGTTTGTCATATTTGAAATTCTTTATCCAATGGCTGAATAGCTAAATTAGCCAGTGAGGGGTGTAGGCCCCTTGTGCCTATTGTTGATGTTAATAATACTGTTTAGAATATTGGTATAAAACATATTATATTAATATTTAGATTACAAAATTTTTCTTGTTTGCAGGAACTTTCGCCAGAAAGTGGCCTGGAGTCAGTCGACTATAAAAATTGCTGATGAACTCCCAAGAGGTGACGCTTCTACAATTAACTCCATTTTTTACACAGCTGGCCTTGATGAAGTTTTTAAAAGAAACAAGAATGACGATGAATCACTGAGGTAGATCATTATAGGTTTACTGCTGGGTAGCAACTCTATTAAAGTGAAGGTCAAAATATTTGACAATGTTTTGTGTAGACAGACTGATTCTAGTTATCGGTGTATAACTACAATTTTGTAGTATGTTTATGCAATCACTTTTGTGAGAAGGGGAATACAGTAACCATTTTGTCAGCATACATGAATGTGTGATAACATTGTGTACAAGACATCTCAAAATCCAATGAACAGATTTAGTTCTTATTCACACCAAGATCTACACATGATTAGATTCTGAATGTCAAGGTTAAAGGACAAAAGTCACCCTTGACCACAGATTTAGATCAGACGGAAAAAACAATGTGGATGGATTGGATTAGTTGGGGTTGAGGGGGGGATCATATGTGAGTCCCTGCTCACTCTGTTTTCAGACACTAAGCGTCTATAGTCATCACTTGATTTATAATCTGGAACCTTATTATTTCTTCATAAAAATACCCAAAACATACATCTACCTATGCGAGAGGAATGAAGAGTTTTTTTAAACTATTTCGTGAAGTAGCTGATGCTGTTACTTTGCGAATATATGTACAGTTGAATCTCTTTATCTCAATTTCTGTGGGACCATGGGAAATCTTCAAGATAAGTGAGTATTTGATTTATGTGAGTTCGAATGCTTTGTGTAAAATTAGGCAGGGACTCACAAAATGCTTCAATTAAATGGGTCTCTGAATTATACGAGTTCAAGATAAAGAAAATGCTAATATTTCGTAAATAACTTATATCTTCCGAGAGAATTCCTAACTACTTTATGCACATATTGCTATGCCTCTTTTTTGTTTGAAAGAAAATGGTATGCCAATCTCCTACCATTCAAGTTGCCTCCCAATGCCCATCCATTCAAAGTTTCATACACGCTTTGTATATAAAAACATGTGAAAGAGTTGACCTGTTTATTACATATAGAGGCAAAGTGTGGATAACGCATATTACAACACTTAAAAATAAAAACTATTCTTTGGCCTATCAGGGGCTACTCGCTCAAACACTAAACTAAATAAACGTAACTGAAACTGCCAAGTTTACCATATTCCTTGTCATTAAACACTGTTTCTTTTATTGAATTAAATGACTGATCATGAAATGCAAGTGCCTGTGGTAAATAGGGCATTTTGACATGTGGTTTCTTCTGTTTTTTTGTCTTTCTGTACTACTATGCCATTTCCTTCATTCCTTTATTTCAATCCATCATACATAGTGTCTATGAGTGGTCTGAGTGCTTTGATTAGTTTAGTGAATGTGACAAATAACCATGTTCTATTCAAATACATATCCCTACTACCAGTTGAAAATGCATATTTACCTACTTCTACACATATATGCTGTTATTTTTCATTGATTATAAAATCTTAAAATGGCGTGCAAGAAATTGATTTATTTGTATTTGCAGTTGTAATATTGATGCAGTATTGTCAAAATCCTAGTTCAGAAGAGCTTTCATTTTATCACTTATAATATTTGATTAAGGTGAAAGTTCTTGCTTATTGTGATTTAATAAAAAGTGGCAGGTACATAGATCTTTACTATACTCTTTAGGGTTTGAAGCATTGTTGAACAGATTTTTGTAACTCTGAAATTTTTGTTGAATTTTCCTGTACCAGATGGCAGTATTTTGGTTCCTCGGTGGGTATTGTGAGAATCTATCCAGGCCGAGAGTGGTCAACAAACTTTGCTGGCTTTTACAATGATTACGATCCACGTGTTCGTCCCTGGTATATAGCTGCAACCAGTGGTCCAAAGGATGTGGTTATCATTTTAGACTGTAGGTAAGTTTTTCACACAGTAAAGCACAGTAATGATCCAGAAAATTACACGTCATTTCCATAGATTTTAGGCTTAATAGAAATCTTTCAACTTATTGTCACAGCCTTTGGCGTTTGATGTTACTACCTATTCAAGTTTTTTGATATGTTGAAAAATTTCACATGAGTTTACCATGCTACCATGCCATCTTTCAAAACTGTGTTAAGTATGCATACATTTGCTATGAGACAAGCAAATACTATACTGAAAACTTGTCAAAGCTAAACAGACTAGGTGTTCCTGACACTATTCAGATTGAGATAAGTATCAATCACAAACACTCAGGAAGTGGAACACTCTGGAGTTTTGGATCACTGACATGTATTCTTCTTGGTCAAATTAAAAATAACAATGAACAAGTGACAATCAGGGACAGCATAAATACTCCTCAGAACAGAAATGTTGATAAAACATATTTTGAAATATAGACATATTGGAGATGCTGAAACTAGTCTATAAATTGTCCAAAAGTCCAAATTTTGCCTATTGTAGTTCATTTATGCATTATGGGTCTTGTCATCCTGTTAATAGAATTCTTATTTTCATATTCATGCTACATTTGCATAGAAAGATCTAAAAGATCTGGTATTGATCTATAAGGTACAGATTATGCCTTTGAATCCCAATAATAATAAATTTGATGAATGTTTGCTTTTACCTGTCACGGGTACAGCACATCAGGGATGCAAGAATGAATCTGAGTGTGCATTCATAAATTGCAATTCTTAAACGATTAGTATAGAAAAAGTTGAAGAACATATCAGTTTCATCCGTTTAATCATGTATTCTCTTCTGATGTAAAATTTCATGTATCTCTGCTGTTGTGTGAACAACATATTTAGTGCGAAAAATATTATTAGTGTATACGATACAATCTATACTACAGTAGCATATGATTGTGCTGATGATGCAATAACTGGAACATATTAAGATTAGGAAAAAATCTCAATTGGAGCCTTCTTATCAGCCAATCAAAAGACAGGAAACAACATTAAAAATTGATTCTGCTACAAATTGCTTCTGATGAAAGGAAATTCCACTTTTTTATGACTTTTATGATCGATATAGGATAAAAAACTAATATTTTCATAGCTTGTCCATCTGTCTAACGTGTCCTACACATTGTATATCACATACAGTTATAGTGTGAGTCAAGAAACAAGAACAGTACCATTTACAGTACCTGGACTAGAACTTTTGTGTTATCACACGCCATATTATAACTAAAGTCTTATGTATCCTGTTTTAAAGTTTTAATGTACTGCAAGTAGTAATCATTGTTTGAGAACTTGAAATTGTTTCAGTGAATTGAATGTTGAACACAAATCACTGATTTGATAGAAAATGTATTCAGAATTTCAGATTGCTGTTGATAGTTATCTTCTGTAATGGTGTTTGATTGTTTTGAATGTGATTGATTATATTGATTTTAAATAAATCCTTCAAGAAAAGTCCACGTTTTACGGTTTTTACCTACATATATACTTGAATTCGCTGACTGTATTAATATCTTATCAGAGTTAATTTGGCCATTGTTTTCTTTCCAGCTTGTCGATGGCTGGTGAGAAGTTTGCTATAGCAAAAGGTGTGGCTAAAACAGTGATCAACACCCTCACCAAACAGGACTATGTGAATGTGATCTGTGCACGGGCTAGTCATTGGGACGAAGTTGGAAAGTGAGTTGCGTTTTTACCATATTTATTGTGCATAAAACCCAGGGATGTTACTAACACTTGATATCCGACTCAAAAGGGAAATGGGCTTGTAGCAGGACATTTGTAAAAAAAATTTGGTAATCTACTAAAATGCTAACATGTGGATGGGGTTGCATTAAAGTAGGACTCTTCAGCGTAGTCTTATCATTTGTAATGAAAATACATGAATTTTTGTGGGGGAATAGTTTGTATTGATTTCATAAGTACTTTTAATCCACTGATACTTCTGTCCATTAACAGTTTAACTAACTATAAGTAGAATCATTGAGCTATGTTTATCCTCAAAATCAAGTGTCCACGGAATTTTTTTTTTTAAACCAGAAGCTCCACAATAATACAATGTATAATATTTGACAGCATATGTGGATATCTAACAATTCAGAAAATGACATCTGTATACTGGAAATTTGACAATTTCTCTGTTGGAAGGTCATAACAATTACAAGGTTGCAGTTTTAGATATCCGTGTAACAGTTATAAATTACAGAGCAAAATACAGTTGTATTTGAAGTGCATACTTAAATGGGACTGAAATATCCAGGATTTGGAGCAGATCAGTCACATTTTAGTACATTCATTTTACCCCTTTACCTCAAGATCTTCTTCAGGCTTCAACAAGTATTGTTACATTAACAGATGATTGTCAAACCAATCTTTAGTGTAGTAGGAAGTCTAGTTAGGAATTGATTTTTCATGAAACTTTGATTAAATGTCATGTGTTTCAGGTGGAAGTATTTTTCAACTGATGTGTTGAGTTGCCAGACAGAGAGTCTGGTTCCTGCGACCATCGCTCACCGGAAGGATTTGATAGAGAAGATAAAGAAACTCAAAGCTGGGGGTACTAGTGAATTGGAGTAAGTACAGAAATACGTTTGTAGACATAGAATGTCAAGACTTGTTGAAGTCCCTATCTTCAACATGACATTAGTTACAGGATATCCTGTTAGGGTCAAAGAGTTTTGTAATCTTTGTAATTAAAGGATAGAATTTAATGAAGGTGAAGAATTGTAAATCTTTTGAAATTACATTTTGGAGGATATCGAAAGGTAGGAGGATATTCAGTGTTGAAAGACAAATCACAAGGGAAGTTTGATAAAAAAAATCCTTGAAGGCTACATTTTGTTGTCAAAAACTCAAAAGGTTGTAGAATTGTAGAATATCGGTATTTGAGATCAAAGACTCAAACAGTTGGAAATTTGTTCAAGGTTAGTGTAGAAGGCTGAATACAGATATGTTTTTGAATGTTAGGTCAAGGTAACCAAAATCAAACATACTGAAATTCTTGGTATGACAATATCATTTTTTGATTTTTGATTTTAAACTTTTTTGGCATCAATTATATTACTTTGATCAACTTTAGTGTAGTATTTATGCTGATAGACCACAGGAATGCTTGTCATTGTGATGTTGACAACAAAGTTTTGTTTTCATATGAAAGTGACTTGTTTTCAGCTCTAGTATGAATTTCAGTTTGTTACTACTGTATAAGTACTTAATTTAGCACAATCAAATTTTAGCTCATTATCACATTAGGCAAATTGGAGCCATAATGATTTCTTACACCAGTGCTTTATAGTAACAATATACAGAAGAAATAATTAGTGCAATCATATTAATCTTATTTCAGCTTAATTGATTTTTAGCATGATAAATGCTTAAATAAGTTTACTGCTAAAATAAATTTACCACTAAAGTGGAAGATACACATAGTTATAATATTGGTTAACCAAAGGTTCTGTTACTGTCTGTGCCACCATTTGCTAGTAATATCTGGTCATAACTCTCCAAATTCAATGGTGAAGAGGTTTATTAAAGGGTTATCAAGGAAAAAGACCTTATAATCACTTCTGTTATCAAATCTGTATGTATTTAGAATGATGTTCTAGGTTGTAATTGGACATTATTTTGTTTATTTTAGATCCAAAATATTGATTGGGAATTTTTAGATACTTATCATAATTAAAGAAATATAAGGCAATTCTGTCATTTTTCAATTATAAGTCCATCCATTCATCCATCCCTTCGTAGACAATTTCTGTTATTGCTAGTTCTTGAGAAGTACTGGATTCGTCTTTCTCATATTTCATATGTAGGTTCCCCTTGTTCTCTAGTTGTGCCTGTCCAATTTTGGGACTGATAAAAACAACAAAATGGCTGACAAGTGGTTATCTTGGATTTTGTGAATATATTATTGCTATTTCTTGAGAACTACAGCATAGGTCTTTCTCAAATTTCATTTGTAGGTATCCCTTGATCCCTAGTTTGGCCAGCTTGATTTTGGTACTGATCAGAAAAAAAGCGGCCAACAGACGGCCATCTTGGATTTAGATTTTAAAAGATTGTAATCGCTATTCCTTGAGAACTACAGAATAGAACTTTCTCAAATTTCAAGTGTAGGTTTCCCATGATCCATAATCTTGCCTGATTGATTTTGGTACTGATCAGAAAATGATAATGGCCTTCTGGTGGTCGTTTTGGACTTCGCCAAGTAAAGTTTTGTTATCACTATTTCTTGATAAAACTGCATAGTATAGGTTCCTCTTTATCGCCAGTTGGCTCTATAAAGTTTTTGGGACTGACTGTTTGGAAAAATAAAAGGTCTGACAGGTTGCCATCTTAGATTTTACCAAGTAAAGTTTGTTATCCCTATTTCTTAAAAGGAACTGAATAGATCTCTCTCAAATTTCATAGGTAGGTTTTCCTATGTCTCTTGTGCCCATTTGATTTTACATCATACAAAAGTTTTAACATTAAGACTGAATGTTAAGTTATCTTTAAGGTGATATTGTATAAGTATACCAAACAAAGAGTTAATGACCTCTGAGCTTTACTGTCAGAGTTCAACGAAGAAGTTGAAAATCGCCTAATAAAGGGGAAAATGAATTTGGAATAGTTATGAAATTTTTTACATCATATTTAATAAGATGGTTTGTATTGTGTGATCAAGCGATCGGTGTTATAAATAATTTTTCATATCTATTTCAGGAAAGGTTTTGATATTGCCTACGATCTGCTGATGGGTAATGCCAGGACAGGGTGTCAGTCTGTTATTGTGTTTGCTACAGATGGTCAGGAGATGGATGGAGAAAATGTTCGCTGTGGACCAGGTTTGTATTCTACACAATTCTCATATATCCAAGAACATTATATCCTACCATTTATGTACGTAGACATGGGATAAAAATAGGTTTCTGTCAAAAACTATTTGATTTCATGAATAGATGTTAGCTCAATATGTCTACTTATCCTAATTCTAACACTTCATGGATGTAGGAACTCCTAGATTCAGAGTATCTATGGAATCAACAAAAGTAAAACCCCTATGAAAATTAATGATTTTATAGTACGTGAAGAACAATTTTGCTTTCACAGAGTCTCCAAGATGTCATTTGTGTGATCCATGCACCTTTATTTAGTCAAAATTGCAATAAGTCTGATAGATATTCAATACAAGGTATTTGATAGTGTAGTAAAATAAAATATGATAAATATTCAATACAAGGTATTTGATAGTGTAGTAAAATAAAATATGATAAATATTCAATACAAAGTATTTGATAGTGTAGTAAAATAAAATATATGTTTGTGTTGCTAGGCTATTATACAAGGAGTGGGTATGTGCCAGGGCCAGTCTGTAAATATAACTGGACCAAAGTTTTCAATGTGGCTGATGAGAAGAGGAAATATTCTCATCCTGAGGTAAGTTTTGTTCAAACTAACTCTTTATTGAGGTATTGTCAATTGTCATTTTGGAGGATAACGAGGGATATGATATTGTTGCTGTGAGGAAGGTTTATAAGGGACAGTGTGATATTGTGTCTGAGTATACATTGCATACAATGTTCGGGAAAAAACCATTTTGACAAGATTTCACAAAATTGTTCCAATTGTCATTTTCAAAGGTCAAAGGTGAAAGTTACAATTGCTGAATATTGATATGCAACATTCTGTAAAAAAACTGCTTATCCAACGCTAAACCAATTTTAATCAGACTCAATTGTTCCTTATATCTGCTCTAGGCCCAGGTTAAGTGTCAAGATCATATAAACATGAGAGATCAAAGTCCTGGTAAGAGTTAAAATAACACATTTCAGGATTCTTTACATCAGGCTCTAATATATTGGTCTGACTGAAGTTTCAGGGTCTCAATTCGTGTTCTTAAGTCAAAAATCAGGGTCACAACAGCTGAATATTCTTTTTTTCCCTGCAGCATTTGGGAAAAACTGCTCCACAGATGTTCAATGAGACATTACACAATTGTTTTATACAATTTGGTGTAGGTTTATAGGTTCAGGTCATGGCAGCTTAATGTACTAAAATGGGTACACATTGTGTCTTCCACATACTAGGTTCAGTCCTAAACACACTTCAAACGATTGTTCCAAACATAAAGCTCTGCATAAGTTAAAGTCAAATGTAGAGGTCTTGGTCATGTTCAAAGATGATTGATGTTAATTTCATAAATCAGATTTTGAGGTTGTGTAACTGCACACAGAGGTTCTTCATATCAAATTACAAACCAGTCAGATTAACATTAGTATTCAAGATTGTGAATCACCAACAATACCAAAATGTAAGTACAATGGTGATGATAGCAGAATTACCTAAACTAAATACTGGCAGGGTCTCTGGTCACATTCTACAACATAATTGAATTTTAATAATTTTAGGGCTTGCTACTAGGAATATAAACACCATACAAACAAATCATAATTTAATGTCATAGCAACACATCAAGTTTGTTGCATTATTTCTGCAAACATCAGGAAAATGGTTGGTTATTGTGATGGAATACCCCACTATATGCAGTACCTGTGATCATTTTATGTTCTATAGGGTATCAAAAGTTGGGGACTGGATTATATTTAGTGCTCCAGTCCTCTAAAGTTTGGCCATCATTGCTGCCATCTTAAAAAACATATTGAGCTGGAAACTGTTTGGATGTTAAGAAAAAGAAGCTGACAAAATGTTTGAAATGTTAGCCATGTCAGACAAGTGGCACAATCATGGTTTCCCTAAACATGAACAATTGTAAACTTCTTTTTGAGTTGGGGTTTAGCTCAATCTTTGCATGAAATGTCCTTACAAAGTGTTGTTATTTTTATTTTTTGGGTAAGTCCAAAATCTTATTTGTCTGCCATGGCTACCATATTCAAAAACACTAAACCTCTTCTTAACTGATGCTGTTGTGCTGGAGATAGGTTGGTATATTAAAGGAAGTAAGCTGCAAAGCATTGTTAATTTTCGTGTTGGTTTGAGTCCTATATAACCTCATGACTACCATCTTAAAAAGCACATTTTCAAATCAACTTTTCTGTGGTTCCAGTGGTGCCATGCCATTGAGCTGAAATTTTGTAGGAATGTGGAGAAGCTTAATTGATGAGTGTTGGTGCTTTCCTTTTTTCTTTACTTCTAAAATACAGTGAACCTTACAGTCATTAATAATTGTACCCACTACTACAACTTCTGTAATAGTCAGAGGACTTTTAAGGCCTATCATTAAGATTCACATGGGCCTCTCATTTCCACTGTAGTAGTTATTTGTGGTTGTATTGAATCCTTGAAAATGGCATTAAATAAAAACCTTCGAAGATTGCAGTCTTTCATGTATAATACTTGTTACTGGTAACTTTCATTGTTATACCCAAATAATTGTCATTCTTTATCACAAAGCAGTATTCAGGTGAATGCACAGCATTGATGTAGACGCTTTATGGTTGATTAAATATCACTAGTTTTGTATCAGTGGCTTCAACTGAATTTTGGTTTCTGCCTTTTTTTTGGAAAAGTTACATGATGCTTTGTGAAATGTGCTGTATCTCCATTCCAAATATTTTATAAATAGGTATAAAAATTTCAGGCGGTTTTTACCGCATTCCAAACAGTTTGTTCAGGAATCGAAGTTCATTCCTTGAAATTACTCTTTTGATTAAAGCATAGAGCACATGAAAAGCTTGCATCCTTATCAGATGGGCATGTTATATGTTTTTGTCTCTAGAGAGGTCTAGAACAATACAGTTCACAGTATGTGAATTTCATGCAAATTTAATTGCAAATGATCATGTAATGTAGCACTACTTGAGTTTGTATTGCGTTCTCTGCAGCACAAGTCTCTAGGCAAGTGCACACTAGTGTTATTGATTGAAGTCATTAAAACTAGGGTTTGTTTGTGTTAAATTGGTGAATTCTTGTATCCTATTGTCACTATAGTAATATATAATCCTTTTTTAGTGAATCTGGTGAGGAAAATTTCCCTTTACCTAAATCTGTAGACCAGAAAACCTTTATGTCACAAATTCCAAGGCAGTCTCTAGAGTGTTAGATGGATGTATGATCAGGTGATGATCTGCGGTATGTGGTTCAATTCCAACATGGGAAACTTTGCCTTTCTCAAGCAGTTGGGAACAAAGTCAATTCTGTACTGTCATGGTTGTGTCCAAGACAATTTTTCAGATTGGTTCCTGATAGCATTTAACAGGCCTCCCTCATGATGTTCACAAAGACAGCTACCAGCTCTTGGAGTAATATTTCACTTCAATAAAACACACGAATAAACAAAATTAAAAACAGCAGTATAAATTACTATATATACTGTGCTGGGTTTGTTATCTAAAAGTTTATTGTACAATTGGGTATGGCTCTTGGCAGAAACAATACAAGTGTGATTACCATGCATCACAGTAGCAAAGAAAAACATACAGGCTGTTGTTTGATTGATCTTCCTCGAAATAAAACATTTCTTGTGATATAAAACCATCAGTTTGAATACTTGACTACCGAAATTTATAGTGCATCCACCGTGTTATTTGATAATGAAACATGTAGATAATTTATCTGTACCACTGTTATACATATACTATATTTGTTTTCATAAGGATTTATCTACACAGTTTTGTTAAGTCATAGCAAAGGCTTGTCTTACATTACAATTGTAGATACAGTATTGTTCAAGGTAATTATTGTCTTAAGACATGCAAATAGAGAATCTTTGTTAAAGGTCTTCATAGTTACAAATGTAGAACCAGTTTTTGTTCATGGTATATATTGATACAAATGTAGAACCAGCTTTGTTCATGGTCTGTAGTGATACAAATGTAGAACCAGTTTTTGTTCATGGTATGTATTGATACAAATGTAGAACCAGTTTTTGTTCATGGTATGTATTGATACAAATGTAGAACCAGCTTTGTTCATGGTCTGTAGTGATACAAATGTAGAACCAGTTTTTGTTCATGGTATGTATTGATACAAATGTAGAACCAGCTTTGTTCATGGTCTGTAGTGATACAAATGTAGAACCAGTTTTTGTTCATGGTCTGTAGTAATACAAATGTAGAACCAGCTTTTGTTCATGGTCTGAAAAACAATTCTGTTCAAGGCCTGTCGAGTTTCAAATGTATAACAAGTTTTTTAAGATGATATGTGTCTTGTAGCCATCACCCAGATCTAGCTATTTATAGACTTGACTGAAGTTTACATATCAAAAAGACCCAATAACACACATATACCTCTGAAAAAAGGATGTAAAATGTGTTTGGAAATTAGTTCATGAAGTAGTTGCTGCTGTAATTTTTGTAAATACATGTATTTATTTTGTGATAAGGTCTTTATTCCAAGACATTATTAAAAAGATATTAATACATTTTCGATTATTCTATGGAGGAAGTCTTACATAGATAATCATACATATTTGATCACCACAGACTTCCGAGCTAAAGTTTCTGACATGATTCATCAAATAGATGTTTGAAATATTTTTCATTTTTGATAGAAAATTATATATATGATTACAATAAATTTATTGAAAAGTTTGTGAAAACTTTAATATGAAACAACACCGACTAGTGTAGAGTTAGGTTTTATGAGTTGTGGTAAGCTTAAACAACAATGGCAAAAAAACAATCAAGAGTTTGAAAGATATATTGCTTAAAGAAATAAACTTTGGTTGGCAAACTACACAGATGTGAACAGAGCAGTCTGTAGATTGCGTAATTGAATTGTGCTTATAAAGGTTAATCATTTTATATTTTTTATAGTAGTGACAGCTCTGATTATGTATTTATGTTTTGTCAATGTTTATTGCCCTAATTATGAATTTACAGCATATCATGAAGGGCATGTTTAAAGGCTTGGACAGCTAATAGGCCTTTAGGAATTTTAATGGTGCTTTTTTCGTCATTGTGTGGCATGCATTGTACATAAACTCTTTCTTACCCTACTCCTCTTTTATACCTGGATGGATCTCAACAAAATTTGATCTGATGCATTGTTTGGTGAGGGTTATCATTTCTTAAATTCAGAATTTTGATTTGACCCATAGGGGTTGAGATACAAGGACCCAAAGGGGGAAGTGCTGAAATTAAATTAAAAACATTACTCCTTTCTGCCTGGGTGGATTTCAACAAGCTTTGGCCTTATTGAACTGTTAGAGTATGCAATTATTTGTTAAATTCAGAAATTTGATCTGACCCCTAAGTACTTTAGGGCAGTCACAAGGAAGGAATTATCAACTCATTTTCCATTGAATTGAATCTATTGTGCAGTTGTTGTTGATTGTATCAAGGAAATAAAGGCATGATTGGTTTATATTTTGACTCAGAAATGAACAAGTTTATAGATCTTGGATTTGATGCAATAATTGATACATAGAGATTTTATTGGAAGGAGTCCAGAAAAACACAGCTCCTAGCTTCAGGGGTTTGAATTAGGCCTATAGCTTGTATACTTCTTCTTTCTGTTTTCACCTTCACCAATACTAATGACTCTGTGGAGACTATAGTGACGCTTTGGTTTCTAGCCAGACACTCTACCAATAGACTAAAGAGAAATCCACACAAGCTAAGGCTAGAAAGGTGACCATGTCTGCCCTCAACTTCTACAACTTTTAGTATCAGTAGAACTCATCAGTTTAAAAACATACACTTTGTATTTTAGATCTAATAATGTGTAATGCTCAAACAAACTATGGAGTGATGAAATGTTATTGGTTACTTTTATATAAGATGATTTAAAAGAATAAGAAAAACCAAAAGTTAAACAAGCAAGTAATTGATCAGTTACTAGCCAGTTAATTGATCATCGATGTTGAAATCTCAACCTATCTCTATATACACAAGAAAATATTCAAACCTGCAGTGGCCTATAACCATGCACTACATTGATAGTCACACTTGATTCGGCATGGTCAGTTATTACTTGTCCAATCATACTCATCCATCATAATGATCATATGAAGATCTTATCATAACCATATGTCCTGAATCTTCATATTATGTATGTATAAACAGGGTGACCAATCACTCAACATTTAATGCCATTCCATATTGATATATCACTTCCTTTATTTCAATATACATCATACACAGCATCTATGAGTATCCTCAACACTTTGATTGTTTATGGTCTGTAGTGATACAGATGTAGAACAAATTTTTGTTCATGGTCTCAAGAACCATTCTAGGTTCAAAGTCTGTAGAGTTACAAATTTAGAACCAGTTTTTGTTCATGGTCTGTAGTGATACAAATGTAGAACCAGTTTTTGTTCATGGTATGTATTGATACAAATGTAGAACCAGCTTTGTTCATGGTCTGTAGTAATACAAATGTAGAACCAGTTTTTGTTCATGGTATGTATTGATACAAATGTAGAACCAGCTTTGTTCATGGTCTGTAGTAATACAAATGTAGAACCAGTTTTTGTTCATGATCTGTAGTGATACAAATGTAGAACCAGTTTTTGTTCATGGTCTGTAGTGATACAAATGTAGAACCAGTTTTTGTTCATGGTCTGTAGTGGTACAAATGTAGAACCAGTTTTTGTTCATGGTATGTATTGATACAAATGTAGAACCAGCTTTGTTCATGGTATGTATTGATACAAATGTAGAACCAGTTTTTGTTCATGGTCTGTAGTGGTACAAATGTAGAACCAGTTTTTGTTCATGGTATGTATTGATACAAATGTAGAACCAGTTTTTGTTCATAGTCTGTAGTGATACAAATGTAGAACCAGTTTTTGTTCATGGTCTGTAGTGATACAAATGTAGAACCAGTTTTTGTTCATGGTCTGTAGTGATACAAATGTAGAACCAGTTTTTGTTCATAGTCTGTAGTGATACAAATGTAGAACCAGTTTTTGTTCATAGTCTGTAGTGATACAAATGTAGAACCAGTTTTTGTTCATAGTCTGTAGTGATACAAATGTAGAACCAGTTTTTGTTCATGGTCTGTAGTGGTACAAATGTAGAACCAGTTTTTGTTCATAGTCTGTAGTGATACAAATGTAGAACCAGTTTTTGTTCATGGTCTGTAGTGATACAAATGTAGAACCAGCTTTGTTCATGGTCTGTAGTGGTACAAATGTAGAACCAGTTTTTGTTCATGGTCTGTAGTGGTACAAATGTAGAACCAGTTTTTGTTCATGGTCTGTAGTGGTACAAATGTAGAACCAGTTTTTGTTCATGGTCTGTAGTGATACAAATGTAGAACCAGTTTTTGTTCATAGTCTGTAGTGGTACAAATGTAGAACCAGTTTTTGTTCATAGTCTGTAGTGATACAAATGTAGAACCAGTTTTTGTTCATGGTATGTATTGATACAAATGTAGAACCAGTTTTTGTTCATGGTCTGTAGTGATACAAATGTAGAACCAGTTTTTGTTCATGGTCTGTAGTGATACAAATGTAGAACCAGTTTTTGTTCATGGTCTGTAGTGATACAAATGTAGAACCAGTTTTTGTTCATGGTCTGTAGTGATACAAATGTAGAACCAGCTTTGTTCATGGTCTGTAGTGATACAAATGTAGAACCAGTTTTTGTTCATGGTCTGTAGTGATACAAATGTAGAACCAGTTTTTGTTCATGGTCTGTAGTGATACAAATGTAGAACCAGTTTTTGTTCATGGTCTGTAGTGATACAAATGTAGAACCAGTTTTTGTTCATGGTCTGTAGTGATACAAATGTAGAACCAGTTTTTGTTCATGGTCTGTAGTGATACAAATGTAGAACCAGTTTTTGTTCATGGTCTGTAGTGATACAAATGTAGAACCAGTTTTTGTTCATGGTCTGTAGAGTTAAAAATGTAGAACCAGTTTTTGTTCATAGTCTGTAGAGTTAAAAATGTAGAACCAGTTTTTGTTCATAGTCTGTAGAGTTAAAAATGTAGAACCAGTTTTTGTTCATAGTCTGTAGAGTTAAAAATGTAGAACCAGTTTTTGTTCATAGTCTGTAGAGTTAAAAATGTAGAACCAGTTTTTGTTCATGGTCTGTAGAGTTAAAAATGTAGAACCAGTTTTTGTTCATAGTCTGTAGAGTTAAAAATGTAGAACCAGTTTTTGTTCATAGTCTGTAGAGTTAAAAATTTAGAACCAGTTTTTGTTCATAGTCTGTAGAGTTAAAAATGTAGAACCAGTTTTTGTTCATGGTCTGTAGTGATACAAATGTAGAACCAGCTTTGTTCATGGTCTGTAGTGATACAAATGTAGAACCAGCTTTGTTCATGGTCTGTAGTAATACAAATGTAGAACCAGTTTTTGTTCATGGTCTGTAGTGATACAAATGTAGAACCAGTTTTTGTTCATGGTCTGTAGTGATACAAATGTAGAACCAGTTTTTGTTCATGGTCTGTAGTGATACAAATGTAGAACCAGTTTTTGTTCATGGTCTGTAGTGATACAAATGTAGAACCAGTTTTTGTTCATGGTCTGTAGTGATACAAATGTAGAACCAGTTTTTGTTCATGGTCTGTAGAGTTAAAAATGTAGAACCAGTTTTTGTTCATAGTCTGTAGAGTTAAAAATGTAGAACCAGTTTTTGTTCATAGTCTGTAGAGTTAAAAATGTAGAACCAGTTTTTGTTCATAGTCTGTAGAGTTAAAAATGTAGAACCAGTTTTTGTTCATAGTCTGTAGAGTTAAAAATGTAGAACCAGTTTTTGTTCATGGTCTGTAGAGTTAAAAATGTAGAACCAGTTTTTGTTCATAGTCTGTAGAGTTAAAAATGTAGAACCAGTTTTTGTTCATAGTCTGTAGAGTTAAAAATTTAGAACCAGTTTTTGTTCATAGTCTGTAGAGTTAAAAATGTAGAACCAGTTTTTGTTCATGGTCTGTAGTGATACAAATGTAGAACCAGCTTTGTTCATGGTCTGTAGTGATACAAATGTAGAACCAGCTTTGTTCATGGTCTGTAGTAATACAAATGTAGAACCAGCTTTTGTTCATGGTCTGTAGTGATACAAATGTAGAACCAGTTTTTGTTCATGGTCTGTAGTGATACAAATGTAGAACCAGCTTTGTTCATGGTCTGTAGTGATACAAATGTAGAACCAGTTTTTGTTCATAGTCTGAAGAACTGTTTTATGTTCAAGACCTGTAGAGTTTCAAATGTAAAATCAGTATCTGTTTATGGTATTTAGTGATACAAATGTAGGATCTGTCTTTTGTCATGATATTTATTTTTCAGAGTCTCTGTTCAAGGCTTTGTAATTACAAAGATGATCTTTATCATCTGTACATTAAACTGCTAATATTTTTGTATTACAGCCCCGTATATTCAGCTACTTGATTAAGGACCCTGATGAGTCATTCCCTGGGACACTGGCCTGCTCCCATCGAGGAAGCTTGGTTAAACTGATGAATGGACAGAGTCTCATATCACAGATGAACAACTACTTTGAATTTCTGTTTGGCAATGCTAAGAACACCAATGCTTTTTGGACATCCCCCTATCTGGATGCCTGGGACCTAGGTATCATGGTGACACATGCGATTCCTGTCATGAGTAGTGATGGAAAGTAAGTTGAATGACATTTATAAACTATAGAAGGAAGAGATAAAATTTTAACAGAAACACTTTTTTTCCCTGTTTTACTATCTGCTAGTTTTTCAGAAATTTCTTGAAATTTGTCTGTGGTTGGTCATTTGTCTGTTGTTCATCCATCTTTTACCAATATTTGATATGCCTGTTTCTACAGAAGTACTCAAAAGATCATTCTAAAATTTGGTTCACCTTGATGCCTATTTTTGTGTTATTTGTTTTTGGACAGATTAGAAACTTAATATGCTGACAAGCAGCCATCTTGGATTTTGTTAGTTAAAGCTATTATTGCTATTTCTTTTTAAGAAGTGGATGGATGATTTTCAAGTTTCATACATAGGTTGCCCTTGGTTGCTAATTGGTCATTGTCTCTTTTGGGAATAAAAAAGTTAGCATAGCTTATAGTCAGCCATCTTTAATTTTGACAGTTATGGTTTGTTATCACTATTTCTCAATAAGTGCTAGATTGATCATTCTCAAATTCCATATGTTGGGTTCCCATGGTCTGTAATAGTGTATTTAATATTTTGGGATAGACTGATATAAACAAGTGGCTAACAGGTGTCCATCCTGGATTTTGACCCTTGTAGTTTGTTATTTCTATTTTGTGAAGCACTGATAGGATAATACTTTTCCTATTTCATAAGTAGGTTTCCATTGGACTAGTGCTCTGCGATGTCCTCTTTGATACTAATCAGAAACATATCACAGTCGATAGACACCCATCTTGAAATTTTACAGATATAGATTGTTACTATTTTTTAATATCTACTGGATGGATCTCTCTCAAATTTCATGAGTAGGTTCCGTTCGGTTGCTATTTGTGTATTTTCCATTTTATTTGAACAATCAGAATGGCTAACTACCAACCATCTTTGACTTGATAGTTATGGATCAGTCGTTAATTCTTGAAAGGCATTAGTTGAAAACACAATTTTCAAATTTTATATGTAAGCTACTCTTGCAGTATCTAGTTTGGAACTGATTAGAAAATCAAATGGTCAAGAGGCGGTCTTGTTGAATTTTGACATTTGTGATTTGTTATCACTGTACTTTGAGAGGTACAGGCAGGATGATTCTTCACTTTCATATATAGGTTTCCCTTGGTCGGCAGATGTATTGTATCCAATTTTAAACATCTGAGAAATACAAAATGGCTGCCAAGTGGTCGTCTTGGATTTTGATAGCTATATTATGTTACCAATATTTCATCAAGAATGAAGATATGATAGATTATTATGAAATTACATATGTAGGTCGATTTTGATCCCTAGTTGTGTATTATTTATTTGTTTGATCAGAAAAATATAAATGGCTTAGATAATGACATTTATAATTCATCAATATTTCTTTAGAAGTAAAGGATGGATAATTTCCAATGTTTTTTTATGTTACTACCCTTTGTAGGGTAGAACCTCTTATAACATAATCAGCAGAAGATGTAAGTGTGATGTTTCGATAACTACACTGTCACTTTCAACTGATAAATGACCAGCGTGAGGCATAGTAGCACTGCTGTGTACTGTAATTCTATCTGCACTACAGTAGAACATAATGTGACGAGTTGGTAAAAAGATTAGAGAAAAAAAATACAAAAAATGGTAACAAAGTACTGTAGTCAATTCAGCTACGCTTTCTTTAACACTTGGTCATAGATGTGTGAGAGTGTTTGGCACATCGTTTATTTGGATACGGTATCCACTTAGTCAATAGATTTTACACAGTAATACCTTATTCACTGACAGTATACTACTCAGGACCTATTTCAGAGATATTTACAAGCTAATTTTTGTTTCTACAGAAATATTGGGGTAGTTGGTGTGGATGCCACCTTGGATGAGATTGAGAACTTCCTTACCAAACATCAATGGGGAACTGTGTACTCCTTCCTTATTAACAACAAAGGGGAGACAATCTACCATCCAAGACTCAAACCAAGTACCAATGTAAGTGTACAGATGTTGATTTACCTGTGAAATCTTATTACTCATACAAAGAAGATTAAGGAAATATTTTGTAATTGAATGAAGAAAACTGATACAGACATTCCCAACATAGCAATTGTTCGAAGGGATTTTGACCTCTAAAAAGGTAAATCCTTCATGGTCTTTATCAACATTTTTATTTCAATTTAAAATAATAGTCATATGTAAGAAAAGTTTGTCTGATATTAAAAAACGACAAAAAACAAAACAAAAAACAAAAAATGATTACACCAATGCATTTTCAGTGTCAAAAATTAATTATTCATTTACACTTCACACAAACATCTTTATTATATAATCTGAGAGTGGAGTCTGATCTGGGACCTAGACTTGATAGCATGGTAATCTAGGTATAATTTTTAGGTACCTTTTCAAAGCCCCTAAACACGAACCTAGAACTCAGAAAGTTTTAAGAAATTAAAAAGCAAAAAAATAATTTTTAATAAGAAAGAAAAACACTATTTTGCTTTTCAAAAACTTCATTTGAGTGTATTCTTGTTGAATTATTTTAATGATGTCAAGGTAATTAAAGTTTTACAACTGATAAAATAAAAATTGTCCACTAGATTTGATAATAAAGCTGGAGATACACTATTGGGTGATCTGAAATATAGCAAGAGTATTGGGATATTTGCTTCATCGCTGATGATACCTTTCATGGTAAAACATGCTGTTGTAATATCCCCAATTTCCATATAATCCATGTCGTTGTATCTCACAGTGATCTCCCTTTAATTGGCAATCATTGTATAATTGTCCACAATTTGTATAAGCCATCTTTTATGAAGAAACGCACAATTTATTGTATTTAGGCGCTTTTTCACAAAGTCAAACTAACATAGTTTAATAAACACAAGTATATATATTTTTTTCTTTTCTTCATTAAAAATTCACAGAAAATTCCAGATAGTGACCAACAGCAAATTGTTCTGGTGTAGTATCTTCAGATATGCATTTCATGTCCTCATACATATTCAATATATACAACTTCCTCACGGTTTGTGTTGTATGAAAGATGTAAGTGCACAAAGCTGTATATTTGCTGGTACCTAACTACAGCCTGAAAGAGCTGGCACCTAAGTATATATGATATGTAATCATTAAGATGAATACCTTAAATAGTGTATATATAACTATATTTCCTGTCCAAGGTTAATAAATAAAGATTAATTGAGTGTTAATTTCTTTCCAAACTCTATGATGTCCATTATTCCTGATCCTTTTTTATTTACTCTGTCACTCTACATATCTTATTTATCAGTCCTATCCAAATCATTGACCATTCATATATGTCATTTGGTAACTTGTAAGCACATTGCCCTATAATATACACAATGCATGCAGATTTACACTATTAATCATGTAATAGGAAAAAGTAAAGAAAAATGTCCTCAGCCCCCATCTGGTATCATACTAGCAGCTCTTACTCAAAAAGTAAATAGCATACTGCTGGACTAACAGGAAATCCCATCTTGTCGAGACTCATTATATGATCGAAACATTCTGCTTCCTCAAACAAGTGGTTTTATGCCTGTTCATAGAATAGATGTGTTTTATGGAGTTGTCTGTGCATACTTATTTTTATATCTTATTTCATTCAGTTTTCAATTTTCAAAATTTGTTATTAAAGAACTTTTTGCAGTAGACTGAAATCAGGTGTTTCAGACTTTCTGTATGGGGGCTGTGAAAATTCTGTTTGACGAGCATCAGGTTTTCAGCCCCAGGTGAAGATCTGAGGTAGTTTGTTTGATCACTAGCTACACAGAACAGTATGTTTTTTACTGTCCTGGTTGAGCCATTGGCAAGACACTTTATTCCTATTGCTCTGGTTAACATGTGGTTAGCTTCTCACATGTTCATTGAAAATGCTGCCACCTACGACAAAAACAATGGCCCTGGCTGTTTAGAGGATGTTAGAACTGACTATGCAAACAAACAAAGCAAACAAGCTGTGCTCTATACATCTATTTCGGATTTTGACATTTAATTTGTTTTTTTATTTTTCTTTGTTTTGAGCCCACCATCATCAGGTGGTGGGCTATTCAAATTGTTCTGCATCCCGGTCCGTTTGTCCGTCTTTCGTAAACAATTTTTGTTATTGCTATTTCTTGAGAAGTCATCGATGGATCTTTCTCAAATTTCATTTGTAGGTTCCCCCTGGTCTCGAGTTGTGCCCATTTGATTTTGGATGTGATAAAAAAAACAAAATGGCCGACAGGCGGCCATGTGGTATTTTAACTTTGAAAGTTTGTTATTGCTATTACTTGAGAAATACTTGTAGGATCTTTCTTAAATTTCATATGTAGGTTCCCTTGGTCCCTAGTTGTGCCAATTTGATTTTGGGACTGATCAGAAAAACATCAGCCAATTAGATTTTGACTTCAGATGTTTGTGATCAATATTTCTTGAGAACTATTGTATAGATCTTTCATAAATTTGGTGTATAGGATTCTTTAGGTCCCTAGTTGTTCCTATTTGACTTTGGGACTGATCAGAAAAAGAAAATGGCCCACAAGCAGCCATCTTGAATTTTGCCTGGTAAAGATTCTTATTGCTATTTCTGAAGAAGTACTGAATGGATATCTCTCAAATTTCATATGTATGTTCTCTTTGGTCTCTCCTTGTGCTCATTTGCTTTTGGGACTGAACAGAAGAAAAAAATGGCTTTCAGGTGGCCATTTTGGATTTGGCAGATAAAGATAATCATTTATTTCTGCAAAGGAATATTCAAATATCTTAGCATTAAGAGCAAAAACCGAGAAGAGAATAGAAAAGAAGGGAAAAGATCCAACTTTCAAGGAACATATAAAGATCAGACAATGGTGGGAACCAAGATCCCTCTGGGATCTCTTGTTTTTTATCTTTCTTTAAAAAATCGATTGAGGGATCTTTTTTGAAGAATTCACAGGACAGGTACTTTGGTTTGGGCTTTAGTTGTCTTATAAACAAAAGATGAGTTCTCTTTTAAAAACTTTTTTATTATCACTTATGAAGTTTGTTTACAGTATTTTTTCCATGTTCAATTGGTACAGTTCTAGTTATAAGGTTTAACAACATTTTCACTTTTATAGGGCTTTTTCAATGTCAGGTATTTTTGACATGACTACTAAAAACATTTTCCTTGCATAGAACCAGTGAAGATCACCATTATGGTAAGCACCATGATATCTCAGGGAAAGTTACATGGTGTTGGAGATCTGGGGATAGCTCATGGTAGTTGATTCCTCTTAGGTCTTTTGGTGACAATGAAATCTTTGATGGTGATGGGGATCAGGGGATTGCTTGATCCCACTGGGTTCTCTTAATGGTACTTTATAAAGATACAAGGTGGAGGGAATCAAGAGATTGCTTCATATAGTTGATCCCTTCTGGGATCTCTTTATGTTTCTGAAGTTTATGGTGGTTGCTGTGGGATCTGAGGACTATATATAGCTGTTTAATGCAGTTGATCCCTAGTCTGGGGTCTCTAAATCATACTGAAGGTTAATAGTAGTACGGATCTCGGGATTGTTTCAGATGAAATTTCCTTGCTTTCATGCAAGTACACACTTCAAAATTATTATATAACATACCAAAACTAGTAACTCTCATCTTGATTTTGTGTAAACTATCAAACAGGAATTTCTGTAATATTGTATAATATCTATCCTGTTTATCACATTTCTATGATAAGAAATGGGATTTGGTTGGCATTATCGAAAACCCAAGAGTTCCACTTTTGATGTGTAAGTCTTGTTTGTATTTTTGGAATGTGTTATGATAAAATAGGTGATTCATTATAATGCATTAGGTTCTTTAAAGATATATTGCTTTGCTGATACATATGAGGAATACATAATTCTCGTTTGTACTTTTGGAATGTGTTATGATAAAATAGGTGATTCATCATTGGGCTTTAGGTTCTTTAAAGACATGTTGCATTGCCAATACATATGAGGAATACATATTCAAAAGATGAATTTGGGTCGCCACATGATGTATATGATCTTGCATAAAAAAGGCATAGTTATACAGTAGGACACATTCCACAGGATGAGAAGGAAAATAGTGGAACCCTTGAATTTATAACAGAGACATGTACCTTCAAATATGCTTGATAATTTAGTTTTAAACATACACCTTGGTATATATGTTGTTGCAAAGTTTTCCAACAAATATTAGTTGTGAATCCATAAAGTTGACATTGTTTGTAGTCTGTATTGCATGTGATGAGCAAAATATCCATAATCTCAAGTTAGCATTTCTTTTGATTTAGGAAAATCACTTGTAAATTAGAAAAAAAATAAGGAAATGAAGATTGATAGACTACAAAAATGAATTTATGATGATGATATCAATGTCAAATATGCATTAAAAGAAAAAAAAAAAAAAAAAACATTGGTCGGAATTGCAGTCCAAAGCATTCTAGCACACATCTACAGTGTATGTTAATTTCATGACATGTTCTTGGTTCTGAAATTATCTTTTTTTATTAAAAGATCTATATGTCCTAAGTTAATGTAAAATATGAGAAGGAGTAAACTTTGAAGTCTTTTTAACTTGAATCCTTTTTCCTGAATTTTTTGGAGGGCTGCATGTACATTTTCTTCAATGTATGTAAAAATGATTAAAAGTGTATCATGTTGTTTAACTATATTCATAAGTGAAAAAAAAATGCTTTTGATGATTTCAGCTTCTTGAAGATCCGATCTTTATTCCTATTTCACAACTTGAGACCGACATTGATAGGAATCCAGCTGAATTTAGCCTGATAGAACAAGACATGAGGCAGGGAAAAACCGCACATAAACATATACCAAAGTCTAAAGATGGGAAAGCTAGGGTAAGTCTCTGTTACCAAAAAAACATTTATTTTGATTGGCGTTTCAAGCAATTAATTAGTGTTTTCAGTCATAAAAGAGACATTGAAAACAATTACTATCCCAATTCACAGTATATGAAATGAGCTTATAGCTTCGAAATTGAGGTTTTTTAATGTAAAACCAATTTTCATGATGTAATACTTACCATAACTTTAGTATGCAAATACAGTACCTACACCCATCTTTGTATCCCAACAACAAAAGATTCAAAAGAAAAACAATCCCGCCCTCCCTACGATCCATGAGCCATCACGGCAGGAACGCAGAGTGATCTCCCTTCCTCTAATAACCTTTATGGCGTAAACCCCACAGAGGGGCAGCCAGGCAGATAAGGAAGAGGGGAGGATAGGGTGGGACTCCATAAAGTTATGGTAAGTATTACATCATGAAAATTGGTTTTACATTAAAAAACCTCAATTTCATTTCAGTAATAATTACCATAACTTTAGTATGCGAATTCGTCTTACCGTAGTGGTGACTAGAAGCCAGGCAGCCCCTTCAGCACAACCAAAGTAGTAGGGAGGGAGAACAGAGTGCTAAAGTGAAGGAAGGGACCTCTCTGTGAAAGAGCAGGTGTACCCACATGCCGCCGTACGGAAAGACATGGCCTGGGGCTAACGAGGAGGCCCAGCCACTGACTATGCCACCACCAAAGGTCCCAATGAATACAGGCCTTCTGAGTGGGAAGCTAGGGATCACAGATAAAAATCTGTTAAGGTATCCCTGCCCTGCCAGAATACTGCAGACATGACCTCCTGAAAGGAGGACTCATTGAGAGAAGGGCCCAGGATGAAGCAAGGGCCCTGACCTCGTGAGACCGCGCTTTCACTCTCGCCCGAGCCAGATCATCAAAATGCTCGTAAGCATACTAAATCACCTGGCAAACCCACCTGGAAACCGACTGGGAGGAGATATCTCGTTGCCCCTGTTTAATGGGCAAAACAGACGGGATCGAGAGCCCCGCCCCCCCTGGTTTTATCAAGATAAAACCTAAGAGCCCGACAAGGACAAAGCAACCTATCTCGCTCCTCCGAGCTAGTCACAGCCAGGATCCTGATGGGATCGTGCGAGAACCCCGGAACCTGATTCTTCGCTAAAAACAACTCTATTCATAGCAAAGCCTCTGATTAGGGCAGAAAGAGAGGAGGACTAACCGATCTCCTTCCTGCCATAACAAGCAAGAACTCTGGCAATAGCTGTACGATAGCCAGCAATAGTGCCAGGTGGCAGATAGCGGTACCTAAACAGAGAGATTAGGAATTCCGCAATCAAATGCAGAGGCTTCGAATGAATAAGCTTCCTTGCCGACACACCAATCACAGAAGATCATCCAACGTGACTGGTAGACGGCAGAAGAGGAAGCCCTGATTGATTGCTCAATGCAATCTGACACCTCTTGAGAAAAGCCTGCCTTGGCGTGGCTTCCAGAGATAGCCTCAGCGCGTGAAGGTGGAGGATCTCTGGTCAAGAGTGTGTCGTTCTGGGCCAAGGCTGGCGAAGGAGATTCGGTCTGGTGGGGAGAGCCAAGGGCTCCTCCACCAGAAACGACAAGAGCTCCTGAAACCAAGCTTGCCTCGGCCACAGAGGGGCTCTCAGAAGTAAGGAGCAGTGATGCTCCCAGAACTTCTGTAGAACCCTGCCCACCAGGTTGAAGGGAGGGAATGCATATGCATACGTCCCTTCCTATTCCAGAGAAAGGGCGTCCACAGCCCACGCCTTACGGTCTGGGACCGGGGAGACGAAGGTTAGCAGCTGGTTGTTCAGGGAAGTGGCAAACAGGTCTATAATAGGTCTGTCCCACGCCTGACAATTCCCCTTGAAAATCAAGGGACACAGCTGCCATTCCGTCAACACCGGCTGGTGGCGCCTGGAGAGTGGCCACCAACACACTCAGCCTGCCAGAAAGATGCTTGACCGCTATGGTCAACTGCATGTCCTGGCAGAGAAGATGGATGTGGATGGAGAGGGCACACAGGACATGAGACCTGGTGGCCCCTGTCTCTCCAGATACTCGACAACTGTTGTCGGTAGCCACACTTTGGACTGCAGGATACCCCTAAAGGACTGCAGAGCCAAATGAACAGTCTCATCTCGAGTACACTGATGTGCTTCGAGAGTTATTCGCCAGACCACTCCCCCATCGAGGTAAGCTCACATTCCTGTCATGAACGCGTCCATGAACAGGATCATAGAGGGGATAGGCTTGGTCAGAGGTACCCCGTGGAAAACGTTCTCCTGAATGGTCCACCAGCAAGAGAACTCCCTGACCGACTGGGTAAGCGGGATCCAGGCCTCCTGGATGACGGAACCCAGTCAGACAGGAGGAACATCTGGAGAGGTCCGATGTGAATCCTCCCTAGGGGGACCACATATGCCAAGGAGTTGAGATACCCCAGAAAACTGAGGAACCAATGTACCTGGACAAGCGACCAAGTGATGAAAGTCAGAGCCAGAGCCCTGACCTTCTCAAACTTCTCCAGAGGTGGAAGGGCTAAGCCCCGAACCATGTCAAAATGGTTCCCCAGGAAGAAGAAGTCCTAATATGAAGGAACCTCTGACTTCTCTCTGGAAGGAATGAAGCCGACTCTGAGCAAGAGTTTCAGGACCAGACGAGTGTCCTTCACTAACGATTCCCACACCAAAAGAGGCATGAGGGAGTCGTCGAAATAGATGTGGACGTCTATTCTGCAGGAGTGAAGGAAACACCAGCAGCAACTTGGTGAACACCAAAGGAGCTGTCGTGAGCCCCAAGGGCATCTCTGCCTTGGCAGCATGGTCCCTACTTCCTCCTGGAGCACCCGTGCCCTTTCTGAATCCCCGGGAGGAGGAAAGAAACAAAAACGGCCAGGAGGCGAGGGACGAATCCTGAAGAAGGGGAATACCTAGACCCTCCCTGACCACCGACAAAAGCCCAAGCGTCCTCTGTAATATCCTGCCACTAGGAAAGGAAAGCAGAGAGACGTCCGCCCACAGGGAGTTCCGGATGGGGCAGATCGAGCCCCTGCCAGACCAGAGAATCGTCTACCCACCCGGAGCCTGAGCCTGCAGGAGAAGGACATGAGCCCGGGAAAGGAGAACCACCGTCCACCCGGCCATACCCTTCGCCTTTCGCGGCCAAGAAGCAGAAATAGTCAGGAACCCTTCTTCTTGCCCCCAGGAGGTTTCTTACCCTTCCTACCCTTCCCCTTGTTGCCGTTGAAGTGAGGTTGGGACTTGGGCTGTGCAGAAAACTGAGCAGCCGAAGACTTCGCCTTCTTCTTAGGAGGCACTGACCCCTGCGAGGCACTGGCCTTCTCAGCCTGAAACCTCTTCACCAGAAGTGCTGAGGCGACCGAGTCCTCCTTCATATCCTTCTGAACCCAAGGAAGAGCTCCCCTGAACAGGGTAGAGCCCTAGAAGGGGGCATTCAACAAGCGGAAACGGTAGGGTTACTGGACTGGGCGGAATTTCAGAACTGAAAACTGCCTAGCCAACACGGCATTGACGAGCAGAGAACCTGCAAGGCTGCCGTGTCCTGTATGTCGGCTGTTCTGTCTCGGATAACCGACACTCAGGCAAATCGGATACCCTGTATAGACAAACTGTCAGGAAGTCTATGTATGACAGAACTTGGATGGAGAGGTGCAACATTCTCTCCATCCTGTGGTGCTCTTTGGGATCGAGCACCACCTGGTCCACTGATTTGCCGGGCCAGGCAGCCAGCTGTCTCAACTCCAGCTGTGCTGGTTGAGAGGCCAGCTGCCCATCATGTGTGGCATAGTCGGAAGCTGAAGCCTCCGACAATTCACCAACACTGAGCTGCAGACCGACAAACCCGAGAGCACGGGTAGAGAAGGAGTCCTTCTCTAAAACCGGAGCCCGGGCCGTGGCCAGAACCGAAGACATGATATTGCCTTCTGGCAGAGACCGATCTGAGCGAACGGAAGCCCGAGGAGCCACCAGGGAACCCAGAAGGATGGTGGATTCAGGCGCCGACGATGCTGAGGCGGTGGGCAAACCTCCGCCCTGAGAATCCGGGAGATGTTGGCCCGGAGGACCCGCATCCCAGAAAGCACATGCTGGCAAACCTTTATAGGACCGGCCAACAAGGCCCCCGAAGTAGCAGAACATTGGGGGGATTCCGCACTGCTATAACATCTCCTAGAGGAGAGACCAACCCCTATGGGTTCCACGAGTGAAGACCCATGGGGTAAAAACCCAAACCCCTGAGGGAATGGGAACGGTCCAGCGGGCCGGGAGTGACCCCAGAACTGGCCAAGATGGCCTGCCTGAGTCTGGGGCTGGACATCCTGTCCAAAGGACCAGGATGAACCGCCACTCCCACCAGGTGGAAACCCAGACATGTACAGGCTAAGCCCGTAACTGCTGAGTAACTGTTGGTACCCAAAACCATCCGCAGGTTGGCCTGGGCGACCCAGGAATAAGTGCCCGCAGGCACCCCTACTCCCTGAGCCCGGGGGAAAGGGAGACCGGAAACCGGACTCCTGGCCTGAAGCCCCAAACCCTTGGAGGAAAACCCCCTGGGAAACCCTGCACTGGGAAATCTGGATTGGGACGGAAGTCCCAGAGCCAGAAGCCTGTGAGGGTGGGAAAACAGACCCCGCGCTGACACCAGGATTAGTGAACTCAAGTGTCACTAATCCCCGTAGCCACAGACAATCCTGACAAAAAGTCTGTGGCCCCTGAACCTATACCCGAAGGCACAGTTCCGGAGTCAAAGCGGCCCCCACCAACGACGCCACCTGGCGTGCCGAGGTCCCTGAAGGAATCAGAGACCTCGACCGGAAGTCCCTTTCCGACGGTAACACCGCCGCCTATCGAGAGCTACCGGCCAATTCGACCCTTGACTGCGCCGAGTCAGGGTCGGGCTGCCCCCCCCCCTACTCCAGGACGCACCTGGACAGGGGGAGCCACCCCCTGCTGAAGGGCGGAGCTCGGTGGAACGAGAGCACCCCCAGCAGGAACGCTCTGGTTCAGAACTTCAGGAGGGAGGTCTTAAAAAGCTTACTTCCCTTACCGGAAGAAGAGGACGAATCCCTCTTCCGGCGGAAAGTTAGCTGGAAAGGCATGGGAGCCTAAGCAGCAGACTCCATGTGCAAACAAAGTTCACATAGTGAGGTCTGGCTGTAATGTCGGCAAATGGGACAGGTATCATGGGGTTCCCATTATCTATAGAAATAGGAACATCCATGCGCTGACCCCCGACGTAAACCCGGCACCTTTATCCAGCATCGAAACAATAAAAAATTGTAACAATGAAAACAAGGATAAAAAGTTTTCTAACAATCAAAAAACTACGAACGAGATCATAAAACCTACCGTACGCAGCAAGATTGTACTGCAAAAAAAGAAAACGGTCGTACAAAACGGCCGACAAAGCAGCAAGAAAACAATTTCAACTTCACGAAAATCCGAGTGACGAGACAAGTAGTCACTCACTCGAACACGCGGAGTAAAAACACGGCCGGAAACGAAGTTCTCGAACAATCAAAAAACTACGAACGAGAGCACAAAGCCTATCGTACGCAGCAAGATTGCACTGCATAAATAAAACGGCCGTACAACACGGCTGACAAAGCAGCAAGAAAACAAATTCCAACTTCACGCAAATCCGAGCAACGAGACAAGTAGTCACGCACTCGAATACGTGGAGGAAAAAACGGCCGGAAATACGGTCAAAATAAACAAATGACAATACTTAATTTCACAATATAAGTTGGGAGATGGGTTTATAGACTACTAATAGAGTAACAATATACTCAAACGACAATGGCAGTACGAAGAGAAGGAGTAAGAAAAGCACTTAGCTCAGACACCTCCGCACTCGTCGGCAGCCATAAAGGTAAGAGGAAGGGAGATCACTCTGCGTTCCTGCCGTGATGGCTCATGGATCGTAGGGAGGGCGGGATTGTTTTTCTTTTGAATCTTTTGTTGTTGGGATACAAAGATGGGTGTAGGTACTGTATTTGCATACTAAAGTTATGGTAATTATTACTGAAATGAAAATGCCTTTTCAAGTCTACAGAGTAGTTGAACCCAAGACATCTACCAGGTAGATGAAAGGCCAGTGCCTTACTACTGAGCCACCCAACCACCCAACCTTCTAATGACAACAGTTTTATAGCTTTGATAACTCATATTTGTTCCTGTAAAAATATTTGCATATTTTTTATTTATTTTCGTTTTTTCTTCGAATGATTATGGTATTTAAAAAAAATGATTATACATCAGGGCTCTCGATCTGCCAGATTTTGGGCCGATATTCGGCTCCATTCCCAATGCAAAATCGTATATTTTTTTCCCAATTTAGACCCCAAGTTTTCCCAATTCTAAGGAAAACACATCTGTTTTTCCCAATTCTAAGGGCCCAAGGCCCTAGTCCCAAAATGGGGTGTGAGAGCCATGTACATGTTTTACTTGGAAGACTGACAGAAGGTCTTCTTTATTTCAGATGTTTCTTTATCATTTATTGTATCAGTGTAAGAATATCCTGTATATATCTGTATAATTCCAGGAACTTATCTAGAGTATCAAATGTTAAAAGCTACATATGATATTTTGCTGTTTCAGACTTACTACTATGCAGCACTGAATGAATCTGAGTATTCCTTTGCCTACAGTTTGGCTGACACTGACATGGTATGTGTATAGTATTTCTGATATTTTTTCAGTTTTTCTGGACAATGTGATACCTAAGAGTTTTTAAACATGTTCTTCTTCCTATCTGTCCTTTTTGTCTGTCTGTTTTTCCTTTGTGAATCTTGAGGATTGATCAGACTTTCCAGAAACTTTTACAGCAAATTTACCACTTTAAGTTCCTCCTGTCAGTTCCATGTTTGTCAAGCTCTTCCTGTATTCAATGAAGCTGGTTTACTTTTCACTTTACTGTCTTTTGTCCCTCAAATAATCCATATGTTTACATTCTGTAAGAAAACAAATATTACATATTCAAAGTTGGAAGAGGTACATTTCTTACATCAAAATTTCAAATTGTTATTTTGTGATTGCCCAACAGGTGTTTAGAAGATCTCAGGAGCCAACAGATAGATCGAAATATACCATTAGTATTTTCAATCTCCTAAAGGAATATAGAGGTAACAAGTCTAGGGAGAAGTTACCCGGCATGGCTGAGTTTATTGAGATCAAGGAAAATGAGGAGAAGTAAGTCCTTTGATATATTGTTTACGTTTTTCTCCAGTTCTTTTCAACATATAATACATAATAATACAAATTATCAGCAACAGTACAATGAAGAATGAAATTTATTTACATATTTAATGCACTATAGATACACATGTATTAATTATATGTTCCCACACATTTGGAACATGTGGCCACCACTGCCTCACCGATACAGAATTACTGGGAACCACTTAGTTGGCAACTATGCCGGCATTTCTTGCCTGGCACGCCTAGCGGGCCTTGGCATACTCTGCACTGCCCCAATACCCCTGCTGTACCCTCGTCACCAGATTCCTTGTTATGCTGGCAATTCTAACTAGCAAGTGTAGATAAGGTAAATTACCTTGTCAACCACTTACGAGTACAGCACAATGAAGGAAAAGGATTGTCAGCTAATGACAGCTAGTCTTATATATAGATGTGAACATAACCTGGATAACATGGACGTTGATATAATTATCAACAGAAAATATAAGTGAAGGGAGTAATACCAAGATGAATTCACACGATAAAACTACTCATTACCTGTACACTAAATATAGCATATTGAACATGCTATTAATACATAAATAGGTAGTATACGAGGTACATTACACTGTGTTGTAATTTTTCTAGATCTCTAGTTTATAGTTATTTTTTAATGATGTACACGTTTATCGTTGGATTATGATAGGAATGTTGAAGTTTTCTACAAAAATGACAATGGACTAAATTCAATAAAGTTGCTACTCAAATTATATTCATCAATCGGGTAGGTTTATTTTAATGATGTACATGTTTATATTAGGAACAATTAATAAATTAATCAATTTTTAGAAAGACTTGGTATATTTGTTGTAAACTTTAAGTCTACCCAACCTCAGTGAAATATAGATCACTGTTATCGATGTTTTGTATATTGGTGTGATGCTCCCCAATATGAATCTTCATATGAATTTCAATTGTTAGACTGATATATCATATGGACTGAAAATTATTACATGCAGCTATGTCTGAATTATTATACAAAATGTGTGAACTTTCATGATTAATAAAAATATTGAAGCATATCATCTGTTTATAATCAATATTTCAAATAAGAAGTTATTCTTCTCATTTTTATGTTATGGCGTGGTGTCTGTTGTCTGTCTGCCATCTGCCCTCCATCATTTCTCATTTCTTTACCAAAAATTGCTACAAGCCATAAATGACTTAAGAGATTTTGACCAAATTTAGTCTGAAGCATCCTTGGGTGAAGGTGAATCAATTTGGTATACACATTAGGTCTTGGCCTTCTGGGATAGGAGGGGCAGGGCCTAACAGAGGAAATTCCTTAAAATCCTTCTTTTTCTGTAGAAATATCAGGATTCTGTCCCAGTTTAGTCTGAGGCATACTTAGGAGAAGCGGAATCAGTTTTGTATAAATGGTGAATCTTGTCCTCAGGTTGGGGCTGATTAGTGGAAACGGAGAAAATTCTTTAATTTCCTTCATTTGTGTAAGTGCCTTGATTCCATCCTGATTTAGTCTGAAGCATACCTAGTTCAAACCTAATATTTTGTAACAATCTGGATCAGACATCAGAGAGGTGGAGCCCAAGAGAGGAAATGTAAGTTTTTAAAAATCTTTTTTCCGTACAAGGTTATTGCCCAAGTTTGGTCTAAAGCAATTTTTTATGAATAGTGAATCTGACTTGTTTGACCACAAGGCTGGGACCCAATAGGGAAATTATTGTCTTATTTGAAATTCTTTGTCAAATAACTGAAAAGCAGAATTAACCAGGTGAGTGATGCAGGCCCATTGGGCCTCTTTTGTGTTATTTTGTCTTTTTGTTTGTACATGTTTGACTTTAAATTTGACCTTTGGGTGTACATTTTCGAAACATGTATCATTTAATGTTTAGGTACCCAGGACTGCGAATCTCCTATAAGTTTTCCACGATTTTCCTGCCGGCAAAGGCTTACTGTGACCCAATATCGTACTTATATGATGATAACCTGGAACAGAAGACTATCGACGCTCATGTGTGGATCAACAGTATGAAGCCAGACAATAAGAGCTGTAGTGAATCAAAGGGAAAATTTAACAAGGGCATTCGGTTAGTTACTTAGATTTATGCCAAAATATTGAATGAAATTATTCCCCAATTAAGTTAATATACTTTCTTAATGATTTCATTTCTTTCCTTTATATAAAAATAAGTTAACTTCACAACATCTTCTTAATGCCAGAATGAGCTTTAATCTTTAACCCTAGGTTTTATTGCCAAGGGCAAGGTTAAGGTCTAGGTTGAATCGTATGTGTAATGTGCAAGGTAGCCCAAAACATTTTTACCATATTTATCTGCATATAAGCCTCTGATCATAAGTAAACCCCTTTTACATTTTTTCAGAGATATCAATTTTGAAATAGTTGGCTAAATGTAGTTTACATATAAGCCCTCCTTGAGCTTCAACATTTAAATTGAACACCAGAGGAAGGGCTTATTTAGGGATAATTATGGTAATTGTAAAGTGTATCTAAGATATGTAGCATGTAGCAGCAAAAATATCTTCATTGTATTTTAGGGCTGATGTCCTCATAACACAGCCAATTGAGGAAATCTGGAAAAACAGATCCTTTGAATCTTTGGACCAGGTGAAATGGACCAACATTGGTCTAAGAAGTGGTGTGTTTCGAACCTACCCAGGACATAGGTCAACCAGGGGCTATGATCCTACCAAGTAAGTGTAATTAGGTGTTTAAATATCCTGGATGGTATTGATGTTTTATATTCCTCTGAATGGAGTGTAGAGTTTTCAGGTTATAGGGGATACAACAATCAGATTTCTTTTTAACTTTTTCAATTATTTTTTAATGAATGGATAAAATTACCAGAGTAAATGCATATGGTATTGCTATCAGAATAAGTCTAAAACACTCAGTAGGATTATTTCTGAAATTTTTCCTGAGTCTTTTTGTTGTTTGACAATGGATATATATTTATTATCTTTGAAAAAAATAGAAACACTGAAACTGGTTTTAATACAGTACAGACTTCTGGAATTATTTAACAGACAAGGGGATACCAGTGGAGTTGAAGGTTTATCTCTAAACATGTTAATTTCTTAGAAACTGTGAAAAACACAGATTAGATCTAGGAATAAGTTGCAACCTGTGTGTGTGTTTGATTGGAGCTAGAGGTAGACATCCCATTGGCTAACAAATCAAACAATCCATTCATGGACTTGGTACTATTCAGTTTAATTTAGTAGTGAAGCTTGTTACCTCAGAAAATATTATCTTTTTGGAATTTTGATCCAATTGTTTATTGTTGAGTGGATTGCAGATAATGTGTTTGTTGCATGAGTCGTGAGGTCAGTCTTTTTGAACAGTTAATTCATTGTTTTCATTCAAACCACCATTAATTTATCATAACCCATGAATTCAAATTAAACTCAATTTCAAATTAGTATTAACAGTATTTAACAACATGTTTTTGCGCTTCAGCTCCAATTCTTGCTTGCTCCCATTAACTGAACACGTTTCAGATTGTCCAGTTCACTAACAGGGCTATAATATCTCAGAAAAGTATGGATGAAAAATTTCATCCTCTCAACAATTACTCTGTTCACAGTTCAGAGTTTGCATTCATAAGCATTACACGTTATGTATTTGAAATAATTAAAAATGTAAAATTTCTGTGGAATATCTTGACCAAGTTATTTATTTGTTATGTCTTAGTGTTGTCAATTATAGACACAGATAGGTTCAGGTTTATCAGTTCAGTCATACACATCATGTATGTTGCTTATGAAAGGTCAACACAAATCTGCCTCCAAAACATTGTAACTCACAAAGGCACTTGAATCATTTACTCTTGTAGTCTCATCAAAGTATTTTCTAATCTACAAAACTGCTAGCTCTTAGATAATTTAGGAGTCTGTTTTCTTCTTTCTTCTTTTCTGGAAGGAATTGCTTAAGAGTCTTCTCTGCCAGCTCTGAATTCACTATTAAAAGTATTTTTATAACTTGCTTCTAGCATTGCTCTAGAATCTTTCAAGAGTGTTGTCTGACTTCTATTGAATTGCCGAGAAGGACAGCTTGCAAGTTTGATTTTTGGTTCATTTTAGCGTTAAAATAAGTGTTTGAGTGGGAAGTCTCTGATAATTGCCAAATATCATAATATCTGGTATGTTTTACTATATGCCCAATGCATATGATTTCCAGTGAACAGGTAAATAGCATCCTTGTTTGATATGATTTAATTTGTTATTTACTTCAGCGTATTAGGGGTTACCCTAGTTATCTACCATGATAGTAGTGGACACCTGAGCTATTAAAAAAATCACAAGTTATCTTCCTTCATACACTGAGTTGATGATAAGAGTCCTAAGATGACTAGAATATTGAAACGATTGAAATACATGTCAATCTCAGAACTTTTCTGCTGTATTGGAAACTAGCAAGCAATACACTTGGCATCATGCATCAATAGGCTTGACATCTTGCACCAATAGGCTTGGCATCTTGCATCAATAGGCTTGACATCATACACCAATAGGTTTGACATCACACACCAATAGGCTTTACATCATGCGTCAATAGGCTTGGCATCTTGCATCAATAGGCTAGACATCATGCGTCAATAGGCTTGACATCATACACCAATAGGTTAGACATCATGCGTCAATAGGCTTGACATCATACACCAATAGGCTAGACATCATGCGTCAATAGGCTTGACATCATTCACCAATAGGCTTGACATCATGCACCAATAGGCTTGACATCTTGCATCAATAGGCTTGACATCATGCATTAATTATCTTGCTAAATCAACAAACTGGGTAAAATTTGAATGACAAAGCTTAAATGTAATATATGATGTCAAAATGATTGTGTCAAACATTTCCAAGAATTCATTAATATCCACAATTTTATTTTCTTTAAATTCAAAAACATGTTAAAAAGTAATAAGAAAAGGACAAAGATTCAGTTATCAATATTCATGATCAGCTTTCAAATATTTCAGACGACCTTGGTACAAGCGAACTAGCAGCGCTCCCTGGAAGACATCAATATCAACACCATACATGGATGCTGCAGGTGTGGGGAAGATCAACACCATCTCCCAGGCAGTGTTTGAGGGCATGACCCCTCGCACACAAGAGGAGTGTCTAACAATATCTACTACTGGACCGTGGCCAGGTGGCTGCAAGTGTAATGTTAATGAAAATTGTATCAGCAGTAAGTTTTCATTATTTTTCTAATTACTCATCATTATACTTAAATTATGAGATAGCATCTAAACACAATCATATGTCTTAAATAATAATACAAACTGGTACAGAAATTTCAATCTAAGTTCTTTGTATTTGTTCTTCAATATGGGGACAGTTTTTACAAATGAAGAAAGAGAAATTAGAAGGCTTATCAGAATTTGAAATTGGTAAAATGTCTTAGGAAATTTTTTATTTTACAAAGTAACAAATGTTTTTGTTAATGACCTTGACATTTCTGGAGAATGTTACATTAATTATCTTGATATTTGTGGAGAATTTTACATTAATGACCTTGACATTTCAGGAGAATGTTGCATTAATGACCTTGACATTTCAGGAGATTGTTACATTAATGGCTTTGATATTTCTGGGGAATGTTACATTAATGACCTTGACATTTTAAGTGAATGTTACATTAATGACTTTGATATTTCCGTGGAATGTTACATTAATGACCTTGATATTTGTGGAGAATGTTACATTAATGACCTTGACATTTCTGGAGAATGTTACTTTAATGACCTTGACATGTCAGGAAAATGTTACATTAATGACCTTGACATTTTAAGTGAATGTTACATTAATGACCTTGACATTTTAAGTGAATGTTGATACTTCTGGGTAATGTTACATTAATGACCTTGACATTTTAGGTGAATGTTACATTAATGACCTTGACATTTTAGGTGAATGTTACATTAGTGACCTTGACATTTTAGGTGAATGTTACATTAATGACCTTGACATTTTAAGTGAATGTTACATTAATGACCTTGACATTTCAGGAGAATGTTACATCAGTAAGGCACCAGGTCCTAACAGTGACCAACGTAGATGTGCGACAGAGCGTGTAGAGGGAGTGACAGGACTGGACATCCTGTATGATGACTTCCATGAGAAAACCATGGGAAGCATGCAGGCCAGTGACTTTCGCCGCTCTTGTGGTCAGAACTACACCTGTCCTGACCACGAACCAGGTTGTCTTACCAGGTAATCAAATCTAATTTATGAAGTTGTGAAATATTAAAGAAATATCAATTTTTAACATTTCATTTTTTTCACAATCCAGGTTGTCTTACCAGGTAATCACATGTGATAGATGTGAAGTTGTGAAGTATCAGTTTTTATCATTTCATTTTTTTTCTATCAAATATCATTAGAGGTGGAAAAAATCATTCTTAAATTTAGAAAGTTGATTTAACATAAATTGACCCTTCTGTAAGGTCACTCTTTTCACAGCTCGGTCATCGGTTTCTTTTTACATAACATTTTATATCCCATAAAATATGAAAGGACGGACTAACTTAACAGCTAGAGCTTACATGCAGGGCCCCAAAAGGGGAAGGAAGACAATATTTTGCTTCAATACACTACTCTTCTTTAATGCTTTTTCTTTAAAACGCTTCTCCTTCCTGGGTAAATTTCAATAAAATTTGCTCTGAAATATCATTAAGTGTTTTGGAATCGTTACTGAAATTCGAAAACAAAGAGGTAAATTTTCACCTTGTGGCCAGAACACTGGGCCCCAAGTGGGAAAGATAAATATTTGGATTTCAACCATGTTGGGTCTGGAACATTATTAGGGAGTGGCAATGATATCAGATATGTATGATGTGATTCTGAGTGTCCTGATTAACTCTTACTTTTTGGTTTTGTCCAAAATTCAACTTCACTCATCTTCAACAAATATTCATTTGTACATCTGCGAAAAATATTTAGAGTTCATGGAATAAAAGAAACAAAAGATATGTGCTCAGTCAAAGCTTCAACATGGTATTCAACAAGGTTGCCAATTTGTAACTGTTTTTCAAGAACAATACATACTACTTATGTCTTTCTGATTCTTTCTAGAAATGTTCAAGATTTTAATTCATCAGATTTCTACACAACCATCGGCAAATTGCGGGCTGTTCAAATTGCCTTTTCTGTGATCAGATTGTCCATCAAGTAATAGTCATATAAACATTTAGGGCTCTGGTCCTCATTTGATAGAAATCATGAAATAATTTCGAAAATCTTTTTTCCTGGCAGATGTTACCTGTTTGACAGTGATGCATTTCTGGTGATGGATCCAGAGTTTATGATAGCCAGTGATCTGGAGGAAAACAAGTATGTCCGAGTCCAGTTGGGCACAAAAGAAGGGGAGGTAATGAAGGACCTCATATACAAACACAAGTTTTTTATCAGAAAGGAAGACACAGACTTTCAGGGATCCTGTCGCATAACACCTGAAGCTCCTAAGGTAATATCAAGCTATTGAAATAGAAGTTACTTCATAGCATCAAAACATTACCTGTTAAAAGATTCTTGTTTATGCATTTCTGAGATATCAAAAATATGTTAAATTACGAAGCAAATATTGCCTGTTTGTAAAAGAACAACAATCTGAACAACTATATTTTGATATATTTTTTGGCTTTGAGTGAAGAGTTAGTATAAGAAATTGAGAGAGCTATTTGCTAAAATTAATTTTCAATCATTGATATTTTGTGTTATAGGTTACATTAGAAGGCATTCCGAAAAATCCTGAAGAAAAAGATGCCTATACTAAAGAGAAAGGTCAGATTCCTAAATTCAACAGTGAGTTTGGCTGTATACAAGACTTAGTGGGCTTCAAGGCCAATGACACAGCACTGGGTAAGTCAATTCTGATTACTATGGGAAGGAATATTGGTGATTCATTGCCTCGGAACTTGGTACACTAGATACACTTCATAACATGCAGTTGTCACTCACTCAGGTTCAGTGGTAAATTTCTTGGGCAGAGGTAAACACTCTATCACTGGACAAAATGAACATGTTGACTTGCAAAGACTAGTAAAGTGATATACACTCTCTAATTCTTCATAAATGAAAAATATGGTGTTAAGTTACTAGTATGATTATAACTTTTTGTTGCAGGACCAAGCGGAATGTTGACAGGGAATGTGTCTGGTCCCTGTATGTCCGGTTTCTATTACGTTATAGCCTTACCCAAAACCAACCTGTATCTCCTTGTTATAGAGAACTGGAATGCCTACAAAGCCACTCTTTTCTACAACTTCAACTGTAAAATAACTAGAAGGTAATATTTACTATCATTCGGAGATAAACGATCGAGATAGTTTTCTAAGCCTGCTAAAACTTTGATTGGATGTATTATGCTATTGTGTTGTACGTCCTTTGTAAACTTTTATCTTGTCCAGAGATCACCTTGTTTTCAACTGATCTCCTTAAAACTTGGAAGGCTTAATTGTCATGACATAAAATTGGGGTTTTCCTGAACAACAGTTACAAGTATATTCGATAGTATTTGGAAGAGTTACTGCCCCTTGTTTGCTTCAATCTTGTACAGATTTTTTTTTACATTATTTTCAACATATCTCTTTCAAATTTGGTAGGCTTTCGGACAATGGCATGAAATTGAAGTTGATATTTTAGAAGGAAAGCCAGTATAAAGCCTTACTTTTCTTGCTAAAATATCTTTATTTGCTTTGTTTTATGCAGGAAACTTCATCTGTTAAGTTTGTGTACATCATTCTTGTGGAATTGAAATATATAGACTGGCACAAGTACCATGTACAAGTCGTTAATTTATACATTGAAAACTTCTGATATGTATTTTTATTTTTCTCTACAGTATTGTGAACTCTGGTGCATACAGGATAATTAACGGAACATGTGCTCATGAAGACAAGTCCACTAGTACCTTAGCCCAGCAGGGGCTTTGTCCATCCACCCGCGACCTTGTGCTACCCTGTAAATTTACATCGAGAGCGTGTTCCATTTCACAGACTCACCTAGTCATTACTATTATGATGGTGCTGGCCAGATTACAGGCTTCACTCTGTAGATAATACTCACTGTACAGGAAACCACACAACAATAATATGTCACGTGTGATGTGTGGAAGGATGACAGTTCAACCACTTCTGTTACAGTGGGAGGTCTATATTAGGTAGTGAAACTTTCACAGATCATTGCTGTATTTAAATAAGGATTGTGCTGCACTCTACAGTAAACCAAATATTGAAATCTCCAAGAACCTACTGTACCTAACCTGCTGAGTACCAGTACCTACTCTGTATCACTTAGGATCTATGTAATCTCAATCTTACAGCCGAAAAGGCTGCAATAGAGGAAGTAAAAGCGTTCTGTCTTATTGATTACCTTTTCAGTTTTCTCAAGTACCTTTTTGGTTCTTAGTTATTATATAACTCTGAGTGTATACTGAGTCCTACTGAGCATCTTCGCGATCCATTTGAGTACAACATACTTTGTCCTATTGAGAATCTGCATTGCCTCATTGAGAACCTTCTCCATCCTACAGAGTATTAGCTGTAATCCTCTGGCCGGGTACCTAAACAGTCCAGTGGAGTTCACACTCAATATTCATCAGCCTGAAAAGCAGATGTAGAGTATGTCTACCATGTAACTCTTACGCAAGGCCTGTCATTATACAGGAACATAGTCTTAAATGTTTAAAAAGCAATAGAAACTGTGGATCTTGGTGTGAGATTTGACAGTATAATCATAATGGTGATATTTATCATCAGCAGGTCTTCATGCAATCATTGTTTGTGTTACATGACTCCTATGTCATGTGATCTATAATGTCATATGGCTTATTACTTAACATATCACATGATCTCATGTGTTCCATTATCCATTTATTACTGTCAAGTGACTGTTAGGTGTCACATATGACCAAAATGTCTGTCAAATGACACATGATATACATGTGACTTGTCATGTCACATTACCCACCATATCTTGGGTAACATGACATGCACTTTATATGTATACAGTATATTTCACAGTATATATATCACATGATACACCATTGATTCATGTTTTGTGGTCATGTATGGTATATGCAACTTGTAGTAAAGCATAATACATTGTTTCTTTCTTGCTTTTTCTGTAAGGAAAACACTGGTACATTTACTCTGATGTAGATAAGTCATTGTATTCCTGTAAGCAGCTTACAGTGAAGGACATTCTTTTTTACAGCCTTTATTGGGTTTTATAATTTGATCTTTCTCAAAAAACCCTAACTTGCAATTTATTAAGAGTAAAGATTTTCATTCCTAAATTCTTACACTTTCATTATTTGGTTCAGGATTGATTCCTGATGGATTTGTGTGGAAATAAAAATAAATCCATTAATCCAAAGGCCAAACCAAATTCACAGCATTAAACTAAACTAAAATACAATATAGAAAACAAATATCATCAGACTCCTAGCTAGTCATGTTTGAGTGGTAAATTAAATAAAATTGATTGAATTTTAAAGGTTCTGAAACATTTAAAAGAAAAAACCGGATTGAATTATTTTATGTACTTTTTATTATATTCAGCCATCATTGAGCAAGGTACTTTCAGTTACAATATGTTATTTACTGTATAAAATGTCCATACCAAGATACACTTACACAACTTAAACAAGGTACCAGTTATATTTTATAGCATTGGATTGAATTCTGCTAAATGGTGTGCTACTTTTGAGAAAATACAGAAAGAATATGAATTAAAACATAAGTGAACCAGTGATACAGGATTTAAGAATGTGTCTTGGCAAGTTTTCACATGTATACACTTGGGTGATAGTTAATGCACTTCTCAATTGGTTGTGTAAATGTAATGATAGTGATAATGTTTCCTCACATTCCATTTTTTTTAATGAATAAATCATTTTATCAATTTTTGTCACACATATAAAGACAGTTATATGAAAAAACCTTCATTTTCAAACATTCTTTGTATTTCTGTCTTTTGATAAAAGTTTTATATTGGTCCTCAAAGTTATCGACAATGTGGAAATGAGTATGATTGGAATATGAGGTTAACAAAATCAAAACCATCCTGATTATTTCCCCCTTGTGATACTGATTTGTGACCAGTTACTGTTGGATGTTTTTATACAACATTATATAATTAGTGTTCACTTAAGTATGTATGTGTACAAAATATGTGTGATGTGAGATTTGATCTGTTGTAAATACAAACATCAAAATTTGTGATACTACCAGTAATTATAGGTACAATTATCATTCCCCCTGTATATAGATTTGTGATATACTTATTCCTCTAGATCATTCAAACCGGATGATTATGACCCTTTAACTTATAAAATTATTAGTGTCTTTTCATTTTTCTTAGAACTGTATTGTTCCCTTCATTTTCACAGGATAGATACAGATGTGTCTCTAAAATTTGATGTGTAGTTGTATTATTAGAAGATACAGGTCAGGGTTATGTCATATTTGGGTAGAGTTATGGCCCTTGGATGTCAAAAAATTCAACTTATTTTTAGATTAAAAATAATTTTTCATTGAAGAGATGATATAGCAGTAATATACACAGTACTGTTGGACAAATCTCTGCAGTGAGTAATGACATTGTAAATATCAAAGGGACATGCTTTAGTCACTGTTGCTTATATCTTGGTACTTTAGTATCACATAATGCTAAACATTTTCAAATTCATCAAAACTTTTAATTTGGAAAATTTCAAAGGCACTACCTATTGAAAATTATGTTGCTAGGCATTAAGCAAAATGATGAGAAATGTTAAATGATTATGTATATAAACTTGAGGGTAACGTACTTGTGTATTAGTGTGAATGAGTATACTAGTGTAATGGCTGTGATGGTGACCTGTATCTACTAAATAACTGTCTGTACAAAGTTTGAATATTCTGAAGTTGCTGACACTGTATAGCCCACTTTTGTTAAGCTACATTTATTGTAGTATATATAATTATAGGTCCTAAGCTTTCTGTGCTTTTCAAAACTAGTTGATTCTTGTATGACATACTTTCTACAGTTTGGATTGTATGTAAGGACTTGTCTACTCCAATGAAAGATTTGGTCACAAATAGTACAAATAATAGATCTCGAATCTTAGGCCCAAAACAGAGGTCTCAGCTCTCGTTTTTCGGGCTCACTGGCTGGTAGAATAAAATGTGTCTGAGATCTAAGTTTCCTTTAAAGGTCTTAGTCCTATTGACCCTGCAGCCCTGTGTGCAAAGCGTTGACTTCATTGTCTTTTTGCTGATGAAGTAGAAATGATCAGACTTGAGGAGTATGCCTACCTAGGGATAATATCAGCACTTTTTCACTGTTGTGATATATTTGTGTCACCTCATTAGATCTGAGACTAAGGGATTCCCAATTCATGACATCGAACATCATGTCTCCCATGATCTTACATCATCTTTAAATGTCACACCAACAATGCCAGACAGTGTCAGCACTACATAAATTAAGAGACTAACATTAACAAATAAGCTATAAACTTCATCTTTAGCAGCTGAAGATTTCTTCCCCAACATGGAGGAGGTTCTTTTAACCCATCAGTAGTTACATGATTTGATGATAGGCCTATGTGTGGTACATATTTATCAAGGTCATAGATATTATTCAATGCCATGTATATGCATAATTTAAGAGTATAGATTTTTCTACCTTAGATTTGACTATTATTTATGAAAATTGAAACGAAATTCATATCCAGTATATATATTGTTACCCATCTTTCCTTAATCTCTTTCCTAATTTTTTGGGTTTTTTTTTTTATTGATAATGACCTGACCACCAAATTCATTGCTATAAAATCACTGCATTTCCACTCTGGTTTTTTTTTTTTTTTTTTTTCCAAAGAAAACACACTACACACTGATAGGCCACATGATAAGCAGCTGATATGAGTTTGAAATATAGTTACCGAAACACCACAAAATTTTGACAGCTTTGGTTTTGTTAAGTGAAATATTTGAATCGTATTAGGATCAGGTCTCCTTTTTCAGAATTCCAAGCGACCCTGTGTCAGTAGGTTTACATAAAGAGGCTACCTGTGTTTTCCCAATTTTTAGAAAAGTTTTTGTGAATTCTTTCACTTGATAAATAAACACCAATTTCTAATTTCCAATCATGCAATTCATTATTAAGTTTATTGAACATAATGCACTAGGTATTTTTCTATCATTTACTCTCAGGTCTGTTTTTGACAGTACACCAGTTGGAGGAGAGAGTATTTATCTAATATTTTGATAGGTTAGATTTTTTCTAATAATGGCCATACAAATATTTCATAACAGCAAGCCATAATAGGTTATAAAATATACTTGTAAGAAGTTTAATTTTTATTGAAGAAATTATGATAAATATACAAAAAGGAATTAATCCTGTTCCACTGATTGACTTTTCAAAATTACGTAGACTGCAATGTGCATGAAAATTAATTTGAAATAAAATACTGGAGCCCCCAGAATTATCAAGCAGATGTAAATTTCAAAAGTTTAACAAAATCAATAATACTCTTTATATAGTCATATATGTATATTTGTTAATTAAATCTTTGGCATGGCATGATATCTGAATATTTTTAGAAAACTGCAGGATTTGTTTGTTCAGAAAATTTTTGTCATATATATATTTTAAATTGTCGTTTTTTACTTTTTTTATTTTAACCAATACACTTTTTTTTTTCTTCTTGTTTTTTAACCAATACACATTGACTTAAATGTAAATACTCACGATATTTGTTTATGAAGGTTTTCTTATTTGATGATGTTAGAATATAATTACTTTGTTAATTGATTTACATTAAAAATGGGAAAAAATGTATCTTAACTTTGACTTTTTCTTTTATAGTGTGTCCAGACAGGGCAACATCTGACTTCAGGAAATATTACCTTTATAGTGTGACCAGACAGGGCAACATCTAACTTCAGGAAATATTACCTTTATAGTGTGACCAGACAGGGCAACATCTGACTTCAGGAAATATTACCTTTATAGTGTGACCAGACAGGGCAACATCTGACTTCAGGAAATATTACCTTTATAGTGTGACCAGACAGGGCAACATCTGACTTCAGGAAATATTACCTTTATAGTGTGGCCAGACAGGGCAACATCTGACTTCAGGAAATATTACCTTTATAGTGTGACCAGACAGGGCAACATCTGACTTCAGGAAATATTACCTTTATAGTGTGGCCAGACAGGGCAACATCTAACTTCAGGAAATATTATTATTCACCTAAAAACAAGTCAATAATTGTTTTATTCGATCCACACTTTCGATTGGTAAAAAACAGCAGCCAAGGTTACTGGATTGTTATAGTTTCCTGCAAGTTACACAACAGGGATTTTAACAGTGATATTCACCTTGTGTACTCGGATTATGTCTACTAGTATTTTGATGAAATATCACAATATATTTAGATCTATGACCAATAGCCATAAAGGTCTTATAATAATCTCCACATGTTTCCATATGATAATAAGCAAGTTCTCCTGTCTCACTGAAATTCAAATTAATTGCATTTCTCTTACTATGAATGACTTATTGGGATTTTTTGTCGGTTATGCAAGTCATGAGTCAAGGCCACTGCTATTGTAAGTAGAAATTCAGTGTTATTTATATATAATTACCCTATTGTTCTGTAAGGAATCATTATAAGATGGTTATGAATAATAACAAGATATTATCTAACCAGGCCCCACTTGTATAAAATATCTCAACTTGAGATTTCCTCAAGCCCAGATTTTCCTCAGCTAATATCTCCTTGAAAATATCTTGTATGAAAATTCCTTAAGGAATTTCAGGACATCCTAGCCGAGGACTCCCTCCTGTTCCTTGAGAAAATTTTATACAAGCTGTTTTTGAGGAGATATCAGCAGAGGAAAATCTCGACTTGAGGAAATCTCAAGTTGAGATGTTTTATACAAGTGGGGCCTGATCCTAGTATATCCCTTCCTAATCTCTAACAGACAATCTGTTCCATATCTTCATTAATTATTTTTCAAATCTATGAAAGAAAAACTAACTACAGTTTTTCATATCATTAGAAATCAAATATTTATTATAACAAATAAATCATGGATTGCAACATACTTATATACAAATAATATCAAGACACTTCAGTTGAGAGTCCCTGACTCACTTAAGTACATAATTAACGAAAACTTACCATATATATCTGGCAGTAAGCCCATTATTTGTTATAAGCCCACCCATATCTATTGCTCATTAATGTGCCAATACCTGACTGTGTCTGTGCCTTAGACTTACTGCAAAAAATATATGGTAAATATCCCTTAGGATATGTACCTTATTACATAATCTCACAGCCAGTCAGGAGACAGCCAAACCATACGGTCAATAACGGTACAGACATGGAATCAACATCTTTGGAATTTTCATGGAACATCCTTTATATAACATGCAATCAAGATCTTATATTGCATGATAATACATTTCTCATGGAACTAGGAGAAAATAGTTTTATTTCAATATAGAACAATCATAGCACATTATGTAATTAACACCTATATATATATCACAACATCAAAATGCATTATATAGACAAATATGGTCTTTCATGCTGCTTATTTTCAAAATGCAGTCACACTTAACATCTGCTGCTGGGAATAAATTAATTCGCAATCAATAAATGCATGAATAGTTTAGTCTTAAGCTGAGGAAATGGACAAATATTTGATTCATAGACAAATCTCTTAGAAACATTTAATATTCATACATTTCACTGAAATTTTTTAGAGTGGTAGTACTTAAAGCAAAGTCTAAACTTTTGAGGATACTTTCCAGAATAAAATTTGCCAAAGCTTTTTTATAAAGTTTTAAGCAAAGCTTCAAATTAAATACACAGGGATGTTTACAAAAACAATTTCCTACTTCTCTTGCAGAGAATATTATCTCCCCTTATCATTCCTTGTATGTGATATTAGTGAGTCATTTCCCTTGCATTGAAAGGTCTACCTAAGCAATTGACATAGAATGCTCAATACGCCAATAATGCCTTGACTCCAACTTAATTCCATACTTGTTTATTTATTAATTATTTCTGTAAGTTTTCTAACAATAATACTGACCTAGAATACACTACAATAAATTAATGTCAAAATAATGTTTTTTCACGCATGTGTAAAAAGACATTTTTCATAATTAGTAAACAATTTCAAAATGCTGGAAATAAACATCTCTATTGCTTTTTTCATCATTTTTTCTATCTCATAAAATCAAGTTTAATTCTTAGAATCAGAACCTGAAACTGATCTTCCATAATTGATAATTTAAGGTCGAGTATACTTCTGATGACAAATTTTGGGTTTTTGTCATGTGTCTACTGTGTAAGGAAGGGTTTGACGATATTGGCAATGAACCACTCCTCTGTGAACTGGAGATGATCGCCAGGATAGCTGAGGAAGTGAAGACGTTTTTCAGTGTCCATAGTCTTCAGTCCAAGCCAGTCCTATTGAAAGAAAAACAAACAATTCTTCACATTACACATTATGTTTCTGAAGAAAGCTTTAGTTAATAATATATTCTTTTCAAGGGAATTCTTATTTAATGCCTAACTTCAATCTTTGGGGTTTGAACACACAGGAATTTATCTCAACATAAAACAGATTTAGTACTACAATGGCCTCCAATGATACTAACGTCATTTCTTGAACTAAATTTTGCAGAGGGACAAAGCAATAAACTTGTTGAATAAGACTATGAGCCAGTTAGTACATTTGAAGTCATCAAGATAAAAAACAGGTAACAATTTCTTTATCATTGTTACATTAATAGCAAATCTAATACACAATGTAATATGTGAAATTATTAAAAAAATCTAACTATTTTTTGTGAGTTCCAATTTCAAATTTCAAACAATACATGGATTCCGAATTAGGGTAAACATTTCATCTCAAATGTAACTTGTAAACAAGATGTGTGTATTATACACTGTTTTCAGGTTGAGGGGAACGTTTTAAATATGAAAAACATGATAACTGAATATTTCTTATTCCTGCCTGCCCTCAATGTCCATTACCTCTGTGTACATCAGAGTCTCATTCAGGGGAACAACTTCCTTGTCCTGGCCAGCTTTGTAGAATCCAAACCACTGCAAAAAAGTACATCAGATATGATGAAAAAACATGAATTATGCCTAAGTGTGTTGTTTTAATAAACATTTATTTTCATCCTTTTTTTTAATTCATCATGATACATATATATTGAAATGTTTGACAGAAAAAGTCATTGTTTTGATAACAGCCTACCTCACTTTCTCTAGGTTGAACCATTTCATCTAGGGTAAATTTGAGCATCACAAAGTTCTTCAGCTTCTGTAAGTTAGCCTTGTAAGTGGCATTCTTTGTCTGCAATTGAAATTTTAAAAATCAGAAAATGCTAATTCATTAACTTTCAATTGAAGCCTAGTCTGATTGCAAATGATAAAAAAAATGTTTGTACATTGTCATATATCAAACAACAATAGATATAGGTGGTCTTGTCACCACATATATTGATGGATAGGTACATGTATATTTTAAGGTAATGTTTAGATTCTTACTAAACCTGTCTTTAACCCTTTCAGCGCCAAATATTTCTCACAATGTACAGCTCAGCGCCAAATATTTTCTGGTAAATATCCGAAAACAATAACAAAAATTGTTGACTAAAGTCGCCTACGGCAGCCTGTCTGTATGTCGACTTTAGTCGCCTACGGCACCGAAAGGGTTAATTAAGTAGAACACAGAAATTGATCATTAAAAAATCAAAATGGTGAAATTAGAAGTATGTTCTAATCAGTTCTTGTCTTCCTTCCATGGGAGAAATATTTATATTTGATACAGAAAAAAGTCCTACCCTCTCCTGATTGATGTCGGCCAAAAAAACACTGTACTTCCTGTACTCATCTTCATTAAAGGGATCCTGCCAGTACTCCGCCTGTGCCAAACTATAAGCACCAAAATTATACATATTTGTTTCTATACCAAAGCACAACAGGGGCCTTAGACTGCAGTTTATGAAGAGTTATGTCAGTTTCACAAGCTTATACCACCTGTACCAGATGGCCATTGTACCGTTGGTTATTGAAAAAGAGGTTTGAAGTTCCTAACACCTTGAAAGTGGGTCATGGCCATTCATTTGAACAAACTTAATATCCCTTAATCTCAGTATGCTACAGGTCCATCATCATGATGCTGGGCCACACAGTTGTTGAAAAGAAGCTGTTTATCAATATTAACATATTTAACCTTTGTGACTGTGGCCCCAGGTCATTCATTTAAACACATTTGGAACCAAGATCTCAATTCATCTAAGTCTGTCACTGGTCCAATATAAGTACTTTCCAAGGCCTCTTGGTTATTGAGAAAAAGTTTAAAGGGAGAAGTTGGATGGTTTCAGACAATGCCCCATAGCATGATCTCACTTGCCTTTTTAGGCTGATGAGCTAAATAATCAATTTGATTTGTCCATCAGATTAATGAATATTCTTCATATTTCTGAATTTGATTGGTGTTAAGAACTTATATCAACCCATACTGCTCATTGTTGTCATTATCAGTTTATGGAGTATTTTGATGTGCATTTTTGGATGTAATGCCATATCCTTCTATCACTGAAAGACACATACTTATCAGTGATAGACACATACTTATCAGTAGAAGACACATACTTATCAGTAAAAGACATATACTTATCAGTGATAGACACATACTTATCAGTGGAAGACATATACTTATCAGTGGAAGACACATACTTATCAGTAGAAGACACATACTTATCAGTAGAAGGCATATACTTATCAGTGGAAGACACATACTTATCAGTAGAAGACATAAACTTATCAGTAGAAGACATATATCATCAGTAGAAGACATATACTTATCAGTAGAAGACACATACTTATCAGTAGAAGACACATACTTATCAGTGGAAGACACATACTTATCAGTAGAAGACACATACTTATCAGTGATAGACACATACTTATCAGTAGAAGACATATATACTGATCAGTAGAAGACACATACTTATCAGTAGAAGACACATACTTATCAGTAGAAGGCATATACTTATCAGTGGAAGACACATACTTATCAGTAGAAGACATAAACTTATCAGTAGAAGACATATATCATCAGTAGAAGACATATACTTATCAGTAGAAGACACATACTTATCAGTAGAAGACACATACTTATCAGTGGAAGACACATACTTATCAGTAGAAGACACATACTTATCAGTGATAGACACATACTTATCAGTAGAAGACATATATACTGATCAGTAGAAGACATATATCATCAATAGAAGACATAAACGTATCAGTAGAAGACACATACTTATCAGTAGAAGACATATACTTATCAGTAGAAGACATATACTTATCAGTAGAAGACATAAACTTATCAGTAGAAGACACATACTTATCAGTAGAAGACATATACTTATCAGAAGAAGACATATACTTATCAGTAGAAGACATATACTTATCAGAAGAAGACATATACTTATCAGTGGAAGACATATACTTATCAGTAGAAGACATATATCATCAACAGAAGACATATACTTATCAGTAGAAGACATATATCATCAACAGAAGACATAAACGTATCAGTAGAAGACATATACTTATCAGTAGAAGACACATACTTATCAGTAGAAGACATAAACATATCAGTAGAAGACATAAACTTATCAGTAGAAGACACATACTTATCAGTGGAAGACATATATCATCAGTAGAAGACATATACTTATCAGTAGAAGACATATATCATCAATAGAAGACATAAACATATCAGTAGAAGACATATACTTATCAGTAGAAGACACATACTTATCAGTAGAAAACATATACTTATCAGTGGAAGACACATACTAAGACACATACTTATCAGTGGAAGACATATACTTATCAGTAGAAGACACATACTTATCAGTAGAAGACACATACTTATCAGTAGAAGACATAAACTTATCAGTAGAAGACACATACTTATCAGTAGAAGACACATACTTATCAGTAGAAGACACAAACTTATCAGTAGAAGACATATACTTATCGGTGGAAGACACATACTTACCTGTAGAAGACATATACTTATCAGTGGAAGACACATACTAAGACACATACTTATCAGTGGAAGACATATACTTATCAGTAGAAGACACATACTTATCAGTAGAAGACACAAACTTATCGGTAGAAGACATATACTTATCGGTGGAAGACACATACTTATCAGTAGAAGACACAAACTTATCAGTAGAAGACACATACTTATCAGTAGAAGACATATACTTATCAGTGGAAGACACATACTTATCAGTAGAAGACACATACTTATCAGTGGAAGACATATATCATCAGTAGAAGACATATACTTATCAGTAGAAGACACATACTTATCAGTAGAAAACATATACTTATCAGTGGAAGACACATACTAAGACACATACTTATCAGTGGAAGACATATATCATCAGTAGAAGACATATACTTATCAGTAGAAGACACATACTTATCAGTAGAAAACATATACTTATCAGTGGAAGACACATACTAAGACACATACTTATCAGTGGAAGACATATACTTATCAGTAGAAGACACATACTTATCAGTAGAAGACACAAACTTATCAGTGTTGTATATTTACTTACTTGTTTTGGACAAAGCTGGAAGTAACAGAAAAAAGTATAAAAATGACTACAAAATCATGTTATTTTTCAAAATGGTTCTATGATACCACCAATGAAGCATGCCTGATAAAACGAGATGAATTCTTTTTATAATATTTCCTAATTAAAACAAATATGAAGCTATGTTTAACAAACTGAATGAAGGTACTTTTATCTACAATATTACAGTTTATTCCCATTTTGCAGAAAAATATAAAGTTTTACAGTGAAAATATAAGTGATATTATAAAATAAGTTTTGATATTTTCATTCATTTTTCACCAATCAGATCAAAGCATTTACAGTGAAAATATCTGTGCCAAAATGCATTGTGCACTTCAGAAAAGACAACTCTGGTGGGTCTAGCCCTATAAAATGACATTATACTCTCACTTCACTGTAATGAATTAGAGACTCAGGCTATTTTATAATAATTTTAAAAACTTATGTCTTACAAGTGAAACTGTATTATCCTACTGAGTAATGATAATACAGCACATGTGGACAAAGTAGCCAGGGCTTTTTATCATTCAGGAAAGAGCCTCATTTTTGGAAGGAAATTGATCAATTGGGAAGGAAGTTTTAAAGAGAAAATTGTATATTGTGGGACTTTGGCCATATTATATTAAACATATCCCTGTTGGCAATGGGGTCCATATTTGGCCCCAGAAAGAGACATGTCAGCAAACAGTTTAAAATGAAACAAACAGATGATTCCTTGGTTTTTTACAAAGAGGATAAAGTTATATTTCATATCAATGGGTGGAAACTTTGCTATTTTTTTATTTATGCACTTGTGAAAAATATCAATGTTCCCTGACCCATTTGATGAAATATAACTGCCATTCATCATGAAACAAAGAAAATTTATAAATAAGACAAAATTAACTGAAGAGGAAAGGTTTTCAATAAAGCAGCATTGGTGTCCATACTTCACACCATAGTGGATCAGGTAATGGTTAACTAAATAAATAGTTCATACCTCACATAGGCTCCAATGTTGAGTAGCTTTCTCATATAATCACATAAAGTTTCATTATCTCCAGGACATCTCGGGAACCCAAACACCCCTACAACAAAGTAAACAATGTAAAGACAGGGAACCCAAACACCCTTACAACAAAGTAAACACAGGGAACCCAAACACCCTTACAACAAAGTAAACACAGGGAACCCAAACACCCTTACAACAAAGTAAACACAGGGAACCCAAACACCCTTACAACAAAGTAAACACAGGGAACCCAAACACCCTTACAACAAAGTAAACACAGGGAACCCAAACACCCTTACAACAAAGTAAACAAAGTAAAGACAGGGAACCCAAACACCCTTACAACAAAGTAAACACAGGGAACCCAAACACCCTTACAACAAAGTAAACACAGGGAACCCAAACACCCTTACAACAAAGTAAACACAGGGAACCCAAACACCCTTACAACAAAGTAAACACAGGGAACCCAAACACCCTTACAACAAAGTAAACACAGGGAACCCAAACACCCTTACAACAAAGTAAACACAGGGAACCCAAACACCCTTACAACAAAGTAAACACAGGGAACCCAAACACCCTTACAACAAAGTAAACACAGGGAACCCAAACACCCTTACAACAAAGTAAACACAGGGAACCCAAACACCCTTACAACAAAGTAAACACAGGGAACCCAAACACCCTTACAACAAAGTAAACAAAACCCAAACACCCTTACAACAAAGTAAACACAGGGAACCCAAACACCCTTACAACAAAGTAAACAAAGTAAACACAGGGAACCCAAACACCCTTACAACAAAGTAAACACAGGGAACCCAAACACCCTTACAACAAAGTAAACACAGGGAACCCAAACACCCTTACAACAAAGTAAACACAGGGAACCCAAACACCCTTACAACAAAGTAAACACAGGGAACCCAAACACCCTTACAACAAAGTAAACACAGGGAACCCAAACACCCTTACAACAAAGTAAACACAGGGAACCCAAACACCCTTACAACAAAGTAAACAAAGTAAACACAGGGAACCCAAACACCCTTACAACAAAGTAAACACAGGGAACCCAAACACCCTTACAACAAAGTAAACACAGGGAACCCAAACACCCTTACAACAAAGTAAACAAAGTAAACACAGGGAACCCAAACACCCTTACAACAAAGTAAACACAGGGAACCCAAACACCCTTACAACAAAGTAAACACAGGGAACCCAAACACCCTTACAACAAAGTAAACACAGGGAACCCAAACACCCTTACAACAAAGTAAACACAGGGAACCCAAACACCCTTACAACAAAGTAAACACAGGGAACCCAAACACCCTTACAACAAAGTAAACACAGGGAACCCAAACACCCTTACAACAAAGTAAACACAGGGAACCCAAACACCCTTACAACAAAGTAAACACAGGGAACCCAAACACCCTTACAACAAAGTAAACACAGGGAACCCAAACACCCTTACAACAAAGTAAACACAGGGAACCCAAACACCCTTACAACAAAGTAAACACAAACCCAAACACCCTTACAACAAAGTAAACACAGGGAACCCAAACACCCTTACAACAAAGTAAACACAGGGAACCCAAACACCCTTACAACAAAGTAAACACAGGGAACCCAAACACCCTTACAACAAAGTAAACACAGGGAACCCAAACACCCTTACAACAAAGTAAACACAGGGAACCCAAACACCCTTACAACAAAGTAAACACAGGGAACCCAAACACCCTTACAACAAAGTAAACACAGGGAACCCAAACACCCTTACAACAAAGTAAAGACAGGGAACCCAAACACCCTTACAACAAAGTAAACACAGGGAACCCAAACACCCTTACAACAAAGTAAACACAGGGAACCCAAACACCCTTACAACAAAGTAAACACAGGGAACCCAAACACCCTTACAACAAAGTAAACACACAAACACCCTTACAACAAAGTAAACACAGGGAACCCAAACACCCTTACAACAAAGTAAACACAGGGAACCCAAACACCCTTACAACAAAGTAAACACAGGGAACCCAAACACCCTTACAACAAAGTAAACACAGGGAACCCAAACACCCTTACAACAAAGTAAACACAGGGAACCCAAACACCCTTACAACAAAGTAAACACAGGGAACCCAAACACCCTTACAACAAAGTAAACACAGGTAACCCAAACACCCTTACAACAAACACCCTTACAACAAAGTAAACACAGGGAACCCAAACACCCTTACAACAAAGTAAACACAGGGAACCCAAACACCCTTACAACAAAGTAAACACAGGGAACCCAAACACCCTTACAACAAAGTAAACACAGGGAACCCAAACACCCTTACAACAAAGTAAACACAGGGAACCCAAACACCCTTACAACAAAGTAAACACAGGGAACCCAAACACCCTTACAACAAAGTAAACACAGGGAACCCAAACACCCTTACAACAAAGTAAACACAGGGAACCCAAACACCCTTACAACAAAGTAAACACAGGGAACCCAAACACCCTTACAACAAAGTAAACACAGGGAACCCAAACACCCTTACAACAAAGTAAACACAGGGAACCCAAACACCCTTACAACAAAGTAAACACAGGGAACCCAAACACCCTTACAACAAAGTAAACACAGGGAACCCAAACACCCTTACAACAAAGTAAACACAGGGAACCCAAACACCCTTACAACAAAGTAAACACAGGGAACCCAAACACCCTTACAACAAAGTAAACACAGGGAACCCAAACACCCTTACAACAAAGTAAACACAGGGAACCCAAACACCCTTACAACAAAGTAAACACAGGGAACCCAAACACCCTTACAACAAAGTAAACACAGGGAACCCAAACACCCTTACAACAAAGTAAACACAGGGAACCCAAACACCCTTACAACAAAGTAAACACAGGGAACCCAAACACCCTTACAACAAAGTAAACACAGGGAACCCAAACACCCTTACAACAAAGTAAACACAGGGAACCCAAACACCCTTACAACAAAGTAAACACAGGGACCCCAAACACCATTACAACAAAGTAAACACAGGGACCCCAAACACCCTTACAACAAAGTAAACACAGTAAACACATGGAACCCAAACACCCTTACAACAAAGTAAACACAGGGAACCCAAACACCCTTACAACAAAGTAAACAAGGGAACCCAAGACACCCTTACAACAGAGTGAACATTTTGTCAGGATGAAAGAATTTTGGACTTGTAACAGAATAACAATCAAAACAATTGTGTTGAAACTGTTAATAAACCTAAGTGACTGACCAAAAGTATATTGTTTCAATAAAATTATCGTGGTATAAACTTTCCTGTTAATAGATATCCTCAAATCAGATGGAAATGACGTAGACCTTGTCAAACATAGTGTTAATATCACCTCATTGAACCAGACATTGATACCTCAGTCTTACCATTGACAAGGAAATGATATTGCCCTCTTTTGTGTTTGAAGTTCGCTTGAGGAAGCAACCATAACTGCTGACAGCAGTCAATTTATGATTTTTTCAAAAAACACAAACCAGCTTGAGTTAGAGTCAAATCACACACCTCAGAACCTGTGGTTGGGAAGTCCCACACTCTACCAATTAAGATATAGCAGCTCAGTATTGTCAATGTCTCCATTCTGACAACAGTATTTAAAACTCTTGTCCTAAAACCTGTTAAACTACTAACATCAACCTTATAAGATCTCCAGTTCCTGATGATTTCACTTTCATTTTAGTGAGACATAACCTTTGATTCTTTATGGCATGGTCTTTACTTAAGACAGAAATGACCTTGATGTGACCTTACCTTGGTGTTGTCCCCCTACAGAAATCAGGTTCAACATGGGTGGCTCTGGGCATCTCTGAGCAACAGCTCGTCTGAAACAAAAGTTCTCTGACTTCTTAATCTGGATAGAAATGTATGGTAGTAAAACACTATCTTCAACAAATATTTTCCAGTTGTGCACTACATACTGAATGGTGTGTGTGTGAAGATGATATGTGGATGTTGCATGCATGTTGTGTGTATGATGCATGCACGATGTGTGCACAAAGTTTTTGGTGCATTTTTATTACCACAACTGTATACACTCAACTAGGTGTCAAAGGTTACTTGTATATGGTGCCATAAATCTTAAATAGGTAGTTGGTGACAGAGATAAGTATATATCATACCTTATAACTTACACATATATTTGGTGACAGAGTTAAGCCTTTATCATACCTTAATAACTTACAAGTATAGTTGATGACAGAGTTAAGCCTTTATCATACCTTATAACTTACACATATATTTGGTGACAGAGTTAAGCCTTTATCATACCTTAATACCTTACAAGTATAGTTGATGACAGATTTCATTTCAGTAATAATTACCATAACTTTAGTATGCAAATACAGTACCTACACCCATCTTTGTATCCCAACAACAAAAGATTCAAAAGAAAAACAATCCCGCCCTCCCTACGATCCATGAGACATCACGGCAGGAACGCAGAGTGATCTCCCTTCCTCTTACCTTTATGGCTGCCGACGAGTGCGGAGGTGTCTGAGCTAAGTGCTTTTCTTACTCCTTCTCTTCGTACTGCCATTGTCGTTTGAGTATATTGTTACTCTATTAGTAGTCTATAAACCCATCTCCCAACTTATATTGTGAAATTAAGTATTGTCATTTGTTTATTTTGACCGTATTTCCGGCCGTTTTTTCCTCCACGTATTCGAGTGCGTGACTACTTGTCTCGTTGCTCGGATTTGCGTGAAGTTGGAATTTGTTTTCTTGCTGCTTTGTCGGCCGTGTTGTACGGCCGTTTTATTTATGCAGTGCAATCTTGCTGCGTACGGTAGGCTTTGTGCTCTCGTTCGTAGTTTTTTGATTGTTAGAGAACTTCGTTTCCGGCCGTGTTTTTCCTCCGCGTGTTCGAGTGAGTGACTACTTGTCTCGTCACTCGGATTTTCGTGAAGTTGAAATTGTTTTCTTGCTGATTTGTCGGCCGTTTTGTACGACCGTTTTCTTTTTTTTGCAGTACAATCTTGCTGCGTACGGTAGGTTTTATGATCTCGTTCGTAGTTTTTTGATTGTTAGAAAACTTTTTATCCTTGTTTTCATTGTTACAATTTTTTATTGTTTCGATGCTGGATAAAGGTGCCGGGTTTACGTCGAGGGTCAGCGCATGGATGTTCCTATTTCTATAGATAATGGGAACCCCATGATACCTGTCCCATTTGCCGACATTACAGCCAGACCTCACTATGTGAACTTTGTTTGCACATGGAGTCTCCTGCTTAGGCTCCCATGCCTTTCCAGCTAACTTTCCGCCGGAAGAGGGATTCGTCCTCTTCTTCCGGTAAGGGAAGTAAGCTTTTTAAGACCTCCCTCCTGAAGTTCTGAACCAGAGCGTTCCTGCTGGGGGTGCTCTCGTTCCACCGAGCTCCACCCTTCAGCAGGGGGTGGCTCCCCCTGTCCAGGTGTGTCCTGGAGTAGGGGGGGGGGCAGCCCGACCCTGACTCGGCGCAGTCAAGGGTCGAATTGGCCGGTAGCTCTCGATAGGCGGCGGTGTTACCGTCGGAAAGGGACTTCCGGTCGAGGTCTTTGATTCCTTCAGGGACCTCGGCACGCCAGGTGGCGTCGTTGGTGGGGGCCGCTTTGACTCCGGAACTGTGCCTTCGGGTATAGGTTCAGGGGCCACAGACTTTTTGTCAGGATTGTCTGTGGCTACGGGGATTAGTGACACTTGAGTTCACTAATCCTGGTGTCAGCGCGGGGTCTGTTTTCCCACCCTCACAGGCTTCTGGCTCTGGGACTTCCGTCCCAATCCAGATTTCCCAGTGCAGGGTTTCCCAGGGGTTTTCCTCCAAGGGTTTGGGGCTTCAGGCCAGGAGTCCGGTTTCCGGTCTCCCTTTCCCCCGGGCTCAGGGAGTAGGGGTGCCTGCGGGCACTTATTCCTGGGTCGCCCAGGCCAACCTGCGGATGGTTTTGGGTACCAACAGTTACTCAGCAGTTACGGGCTTAGCCCGTACATGTCTGGGTTTCCACCTGGTGGGAGTGGCGGTTCATCCTGGTCCTTTGGACAGGATGTCCAGCCCCAGACTCAGGCAGGCCATCTTGGCCAGTTCTGGGGTCACTCCCGGCCCGCTGGACCGTTCCCATTCCCTCAGGGGTTTGGGTTTTTACCCCATGGGTCTTCACTCGTGGAACCCATAGGGGTTGGTCTCTCCTCTAGGAGATGTTATAGCAGTGCGGAATCCCCCCAATGTTCTGCTACTTCGGGGGCCTTGTTGGCCGGTCCTATAAAGGTTTGCCAGACCTTAAGGACTTCCGCCTCCAGCGCGGACCCGTCGGTCTCCTGTTCCCAGGGGTCGGCTTCGGGTCTCCGACCCAAGCCTACAGCTACAGCTGTTGGTCGCGCTGCGTCCAAATGCCATAAAGAGGAGTTCCCCTCTGCGGAGATGGCTCCTCTGGCGGCCCCTGTTCCTCCCAAGGGGACTTCGGTCTCTATTGAGGAGGAGATGGACATCGAGGGTGCGGGCTCGGCAGAGGAAGACGATGTCATTCATCTTTCTCCTGGGCCAAGAGGGTTCACAAGGGGAAGATGGCCCTGAGACTGCTGAAGCTGAGGCTCAGCATGTGCTTTCTGGGATGCGGGTCCTCCGGGCCAACATCTCCCGGATTCTCAGGGCGGAGGTTTGCCCACCACCTCAGCATCGTCGGCGCCTGAATCCACCATCCTTCTGGGTTCCCTGGTGGCTCCTCGGGCTTCCGTTCGCTCAGATCGGTCTCTGCCAGAAGGCAATATCATGTCTTCGGTTCTGGCCACGGCCCGGGCTCCGGTTTTAGAGAAGGACTCCTTCTCTACCCGTGCTCCCGGGTTTGTCGGTCTGCAGCTCAGTGTTGGTGAATTGTCGGAGGCTTCAGCTTCCGACTATGCCACACATGATGGGCAGCTGGCCTCTCAACCAGCACAGCTGGAGTTGAGACAGCTGGCTGCCTGGCCCGGCAAATCAGTGGACCAGGTGGTGCTCGATCCCAAAGAGCACCACAGGATGGAGAGAATGTTGCACCTCTCCATCCAAGTTCTGTCATACATAGACTTCCTGACAGTTTGTCTATACAGGGTATCCGATTTGCCTGAGTGTCGGTTATCCGAGACAGAACAGCCGACATACAGGACACGGCAGCCTTGCAGGTTCTCTGCTCGTCAATGCCGTGTTGGCTAGGCAGTTTTCAGTTCTGAAATTCCGCCCAGTCCAGTAACCCTACCGTTTCCGCTTGTTGAATGCCCCCTTCTAGGGCTCTACCCTGTTCAGGGTAGCTCTTCCTTGGGTTCAGAAGGATATGAAGGAGGACTCGGTCGCCTCAGCACTTCTGGTGAAGAGGTTTCAGGCTGAGAAGGCCAGTGCCTCGCAGGGGTCAGTGCCTCCTAAGAAGAAGGCGAAGTCTTCAGCTGCTCAGTTTTCTGCACAGCCCAAGTCCTAACCTCACTTCAACGGCAACAAGGGGAAGGGTAGGAAGGGTAAGAAACCTCCTGGGGGCAAGAAGAAGGGTTCCTGACTATTTCTGCTTCTTGGCCGCGAAAGGCGAAGGGTATGGCCATTGGACGGTGGTTCTCCTTTCCCGGGCTCATGTCCTTCTCCTGCAGGTTCAGGCTCCAGGTGGGCAGACGATTCTCTGGTCTGGCAGGGGCTCGATCTGCCCCATCCGGAACTCCCTGTGGGCGGACGTCTCTCTGCTTTCCTTTCCTAGTGGCAGGATATTACAGAGGACGCTTGGGCTTTTGTCGGTGGTCAGGGTGGGTCTAGGTATTCCCCTTCTTCAGGATTCGTCCCTCGCCTCCTGGCCGTTTTTGTTTCTTTCCTCCTCCCGGGGATTCAGAAAGGGCACGGGTGCTCCAGGAGGAAGTAGGGACCATGCTGCCAAGGCAGAGATGCCCTTGGGGCTCACGACAGCTCCTTTGGTGTTCACCAAGTTGCTGCTGGTGTTTCCTTCACTCCTGCAGAATAGACGTCCACATCTATTTCGACGACTCCCTCATGCCTCTTTTGGTGTGGGAATCGTTAGTGAAGGACACTCGTCTGGTCCTGAAACTCTTGCTCAGAGTCGGCTTCATTCCTTCCAGAGAGAAGTCAGAGGTTCCTTCATATTAGGACTTCTTCTTCCTGGGGAACCATTTTGACATGGTTCGGGGCTTAGCCCTTCCACCTCTGGAGAAGTTTGAGAAGGTCAGGGCTCTGGCTCTGACTTTCATCACTTGGTCGCTTGTCCAGGTACATTGGTTCCTCAGTTTTCTGGGGTATCTCAACTCCTTGGCATATGTGGTCCCCCTAGGGAGGATTCACATCGGACCTCTCCAGATGTTCCTCCTGTCTGACTGGGTTCCGTCATCCAGGAGGCCTGGATCCCGCTTACCCAGTCGGTCAGGGAGTTCTCTTGCTGGTGGACCATTCAGGAGAACGTTTTCCACGGGGTACCTCTGACCAAGCCTATCCCCTCTATGATCCTGTTCATGGACGCGTTCATGACAGGAATGTGAGCTTACCTCGATGGCCAATGCCGCTTGGGGGAGTGGTCTGGCGAACAACTCTCGGAGCACATCAGTGTACTCGAGATGAGACTGTTCATTTGGCTCTGCAGTCCTTTAGGGGTATCCTGCAGTCCAAAGTGTGGCTACCGACAACAGTTGTCGCGTATCTGGAGAGACAGGGGCCACCAGGTCTCATGTCCTGTGTGCCCTCTCCATCCACATCCATCTTCTCTGCCAGGACATGCAGTTGACCATAGCGGTCAAGCATCTTTCTGGCAGGCTGAGTGTGTTGGTGGCCACTCTCCAGGCGCCACCAGCCGGTGTTGACGGAATGGCAGCTGTGTCTCTTGATTTTCAAGG